GCCTTGGCCTCCCAAAGTGCTGGGATTACAGGCGTGAGCTGCCACACCTGGTCAAGGCTTTTCATTTCTGCAGTCAAGTGGAACAATGACCAAAACACATAAAGTTAAAAAAAAAAAAGCCCGCAGAACTGACTGACAGACTGCACAGGCGCTGCCATTTGTATTTTTAAGGCATGAGATTCTGATAATAGCTTCCAATATTCCTTTGGGAACAACCCCTCTCCTCAATTCTAGGTCCCCCATTTACCCTCACCACCCTTGACTCTGGGTTGGGTACTGTACCCCACCCCATCCTACCCCAGGTCTGCCCATCTTCAGATTTCATGTCCCCAGGTCGTGCTGACTCCAAGGTAGACACAAAGCTCAAGCCAACAGGCAGGAGAACAATAACTCTTGCAAATCAATGGGGAAATGAAATTAATTCTGCTGCGATTGCAGCAGGGAGGAGAGCAAAGCAGAGAAAATTCAATCACAGAAGTGAACCACGGAGCTCCTGGACTGGGCCTACCCCTACTCTGGGACTTTCTTTTCTTTTTTTGCTAAGTAGGTTTGGGTATGAGTTAGTTTCCGTTACTTGCACCTATAAAAGCCTAATGATAATAGCTAGTGCTTCTTGGGCACATACTACCAAGCATAGTAAGGCACTATTTTAAGTGCTTTCTGTATATTAAAGCCTTTGACCCTCTCAACAACACTAAGGGGAGATTTTATTACCTCTTCCCATCTTAAAGACACAGCTACCATGTTTGCAGACCTTGGCCAGTCCTCAGACTCCACTTCCTGGTGTCTGCATCCAGCTCAGACCCATGAGCGTTTGCCTTCAACTACAGGCACATCCTGGCCATAACCCACGACCCTCGGTCCCTTCATAACAGCACCAGTGCCCCTCCATACCCAACAAAGCTGGCTTAACCCACAGTTCAGTTCACCTTCTCTGCTCCTGCTCCCAGAAGGAAAACAATAACAACAAATAAAGCCATGAAGACGGCAACCCACACTCCTGATGTCCAGTCAGCACTCCACAGTCCTAACTCAGGATCTCAGTGGGGAGATGGGCAGGAGTGATCCCATCCCCAACCCTGGGGAAACGTGGTAACATCTGGTGACATTTCTGGCTGTCATGACTAGGAAGAAGGTTATGAGCTTTGGTATCCAGTGGTTTTAGGCCAGGGATGCCACTAAACATCCTATAGGACACAGGTCAGCCCCCACAACACAGAATTATCGGGCCCAAGATGTCACTAGTGCAAAGGTTGAGAAACCCAGATCTGTCCGGGTGGGCCCCCTTCTGTTTGCCTCACCAGCCACTCCCACGATTCCCCACCTTCCTCAAGTCCCCTGTTCCACTTCAGCCCCTAATACTCAGGTGGCAATGGTGGCACTGACAAATTTGTTTGCATGTGCAATCATCTTGATCTCCTTCCCCAGAGAGTCAGAAAAACAGAAGATATCCTTCCTCTCTGTGAGGCCAGGTCCCCCCTTTTTGCTCTGGCTCTGAGCTCCTTCAGCACCTTCAGGCCCCTCTGCAATGGATGGGACACTGGAACCAGAATCAGGGATGGGCAATTCCCCAAAGAAACATCAGCATGAAGAGGGGCTCACATGTCCTCCTCTCCTAAAATAATCTCCTTTACTCCTATATTCCCTCTTGCTTCCCTCTCCCTCCTTCCACATTCAAGCCTCATGAAAAATGGCTGAGGCCACTGGCTGCACCCTCCCGACACATTTATTCTGCTTGGCCTTCCCCAGACAAATTACGGTTCAAAGTAGGTGCCAACTTCTGAAAACCCAAGAGATTTCACTTAAGAATATAGCTTCTAGCTATTTCTGAAAAACAGGAAGATCTAGCAACTTTGGGACATTGCCCCCCAAGGCTGGAGCTTAACACAATGTATATGCCATGAAAAAAAAAACATAATAAAAAATAAATTAGGCTGGGCATGGTGGCTCACAACTGTAATCCCAGCAAGTTGGGAGGCCAAGGCTGGCAAATCACTTGAGGTCAGGAGTTCAAGACGAGCCTGACCAACATGGTAAAACCCCGTCTCCACCAGAAAATATAAAAAATTAGCCAGGTGTGGTGGCATGCGCCTGTAATCCCAGCTACTAGGGAGGCTGAAGCAGGAGAATCACTTGAACCTGGGAGGCAGAGGTTTCAGTGAGCCGAGATGGCGCCACTGTACTCCAGCCTGGATGACAGCAAGACTGTCTCAAAAATAAATAAATTAATTAATAAATATAAATTTTTCAAAAAGCTGGAACTGGGGAGGCTGAGGTGGGAAGACTGCTTGAGCCCAGGAGGTGGAAGCTGCAGCGAGCTGAGATTGTGCTATTGCACTTCAGCCTGGATGACAGAGACTCTGTTTCAAAAAAAGCTGGAGTTGAAGAACCCTGTTCTTGGGCAGCCTCGGTTCCAGGTACTCCTTTTATCTCCTCCACCTGAGTGCTCAGGCTGGAGTGCAGGGTGCAATCTTAGCCCCACCTCCGCAACCTCCACCTCATGGGTTCAAGTGATCCTCTCACCTTAGCCTCCCAAGTGCACTACCACATGTATTTTTTTTTTTTTTAATTTTAGTAGAGATGGGGTTTTGCCATGTTGGCCAAGCTGGTCTTGAACTCCTGGCCTCAAAGGATCAGCTCACCTTGGTCTCCCCAAGTGCTGGGATTACAGGCATAAGCAAGCCTTTTTTTTTTTTTTTTTTTGCAACTCCAGTCTATGCCTTCTGTTCTCCATTGCCTCCTAAAACTACCAGCTTCTGTCTCTACTATTTAACTCAAGGATGTTTCATTAAATAACTGGTTGGTTACCAAATTCAAAGTTCCCTCTTCTCCTTCCTCATTATATTCCATCTTTAAGCAGCAAAACTACCTTATATCCACACCCCTCCTTTGTTGTCAGTGGCTGTCCCTGCAGGTCTCCTCCTGCCTGTTTCTGCTCAGCCTTCAGTCTTCTCTTCCCATCTGCCTCTTCCATGCTGGGGCTCCCCACGCTGTCTCTCCAAACCTCTGCTTTTTTTTTTTTTTTTTAGACGGAGTTTTGCTCTTGTCCCCTAGGCTGGAGTGCAGTGGTGTGATCTCGGTTCACTGCAACTTCCACATCCAGGGCTCATGTGATTCTCCTGCCTCAGCCTCCCAAGTAGCTGAGATTACAAACATGCACCACCAAAGCCAGCTAATTTTTTTTTCAGTAGAGACGGGGTTTCGCCATGTTGGGCAGGCTGGTCTTGAACTTCTGACCTCAGGTGATCCGCCGGCCTCGGCCTCCCAAAGTGCTGGGATTACAGGCATGAGCCACCGCGCCCACCACCTCTGCTCTTAATATACACAAGCTTCTCCAGCAAGCTCATTGCCAATGAACCGAAGACTCCCAAACTGTGCATCCCACACTCACCCTCTCCGGTGCCAACTAGCTGCCTAGAGAGCATCTCTTTTTTGACGATGCCACAAGCACCTCAAACTCCACATCTCAACCTTCTCTTCCTAAACCAGCTCCTCCTCACAGGGGAGACATCTATAAGCCACCAGTTCCTCGAGCTGAAAACATGCTATCTATCCTAGATTTCTCCTTGTCCCCTGCCTCCATTCCAAGGCACCGTGGCTGCTGACTGCACCTGCTCATTACTTCTCCCCTCCCTACATGGTCCTCCTGCAGCCCCCAACCACCACCAGAAGAGCTTTTTAGCTGCTCTTCCTGCCTTAAGTCTCACCCTCTCCACCCAATTTAGCACCGTATGGCTGCAAGTGACGCCTTTAACCGGCTTCCTTGATCAGATAGATTCTCCAGCTGAAAACTCCCAAACAGCTCCCCCGCCATCGGATAAAACATAAACTCCTTTCTGCAGCACACAAGGCTCTCGAAGATCTCGCCCCAGTTAGCCGTGCAGCCTCTTTCCCGGATTCCTGCGCTTTAGGCTTGCACACCAGCGGACTGACCTACTTGTTCTCGGAGTGCTCCACATTCTCTTGTCCCCAGCTTTTGCAAATGCAGTTTCTTCTGCCTGGAATGCGGTCGGCTGTGACAACACCCAGGTAAACAACTCCTACCACCACAGGTGAAACAAACGCCCTCCTCCTCCTCGCCAATCCCGTTAGTAAGGTGCTGTGACTGCCAGCTTGTACCCACTAAAAAATGCTTTTGTGAGCAAGGACCCTGTGTTATGCATCTCAGTGTTCCCGGCACCTGGCAGGGCTGGGTTCAAGGGGAATATTCTTTATCCTCTTTGAACCTCGATCCCTCACTGGTAAAACGGAGATAATAGTAACCCCTAAGATTACTGTGAAGCTTGCAGGAGACATGCAGAAGAATTCTGGCCAAAGGGTTTGAGCCCAACTAGGGCTACATGAGACCTCGTCTCTTAGAAAACAAATATATATATATATATATATATATATATATATATATATATATACACACATATACAACATACACACGTTAAAAAAAAAGTCTGGCCATTCATCTTGAATTGCAATGAAAAAAAAAAAAAGTCTGGCCAAAGTAAACACAAACAGGTAAATAAGCTCTTTCTAACGCAGTAGCCAGATAGAGATTTCTCAGCCCCAAAGAGACTGCGTGTCTTGCACGACTGCGTCTCCTTAAGCCTCAACGTTCCCGCTTCCCTAGGGAGGTTAAGCCAGCTCCGGGTGGGAACGAGTGCCGAGCCGCTGTGAGCACAGTGCCTGGCGCAGGGGAACGCGCAGGATACTTAGCCATTGGGGTCCGGGTCCTGTGTTGCGGCTAAAGTGGAGGGCTGGAGTTTGCGGGGGGAGTTGGCGAAGGGGGAGGGGCAGAGCCCAGGCGTGGGCTGCAGCCCCGACGGATGCTTGCAGCTCCTCTCGGGGGACCTTGGGGCGATCCTCCCCGCCGCGCCGGGCCCAGAACTCCCTACCCCGTTGCCGGCCTCCCCTGCGGCAGCCCACCCCGAAGCAAGGCCCCGGGAGGCGGGAAGCGAGGCCTCACGTGCAGCGCAACGCCAGCGCCGAGGGCCTGCCAGGCTACTCACTGAGCCACAGCTCCAGCGCCGCCGCCGGGCCCGGGGGACCCTGGGCCGACTCGGTTCCCGCCACGGCCCCCGCCCCTGCAGCCACCGCGGTCGCCGCCATCGCCCCAGCCCCAACGCTAAGACCGCGGGAGCCACTGCCTCTTTAGCTGCCGCCTGGCGCGCTCTCCGGCTGACTACGCGGCAGGCGCGGTGGGCACGTGACGGGGCGGAGCCTCCGTGTCACGCCCACTCCCTAGGCCCCGCCTCCACGCGGGCTTGGCCGCGATTTTTCTCAGCTCAGGTTCCTCCACCCAACGTGGGTCTTCTGAGACCACTCACAGTATGGTTGGCAGATAAAATACAAGACGCCAGGCTGGGTAAGGTGGCTCATGCCCGTAATCCCAACACTTTGGGAGGCCGAGGTGGTCAGATCACCTGAGGTCAGGAGTTCAGGAATTCGAGAGCAGCCCTGACCAATGGAGAAACCCCCTCTACTAAAAATAATCAGCTGGGCATAGTGGCGTGCGCCTGTAATCCCAGTTATTTGGAAGGCTGAGGCAGGAGAATCACTTGAACCCGGAGGCTGAGGTTGCGGTGAGCCAAGATCACACCACTGCATTCCAGCCTGGGTAACAAGAGTTAAACTCTGCCTCAAAAAAAACCAAACAAAAAAAAAAACCAAGACACGATGAACCAAGATGAACACGAATAATTATTTTAGCATTTTTATTTTTTAAGAGGAGTCCAATGGCATGATCACAGCTCACTGCAGCCTCCACCTCCCAGGCTCAAGTGATCCTTTTGCCTCAGCCTCCGGAGGAGCTGGACTACGGGCAGGCACCACCATGCCTGGCTAATATTTGTTTTTTTTTTTTTATTTTCGGTAGAGTCTGGGTTTCACCATGTTGCCCAGGCTGGTTTGAACTCCTGGGATACAGGAGATCCTCTTGCCTCGATCTCCTACAGTGCTTGTGTTTTTTTTTTGTTTTTTTGAGGCAGTCTCGTTCTGTCACCTGGGCTGGAGTGCAATGTCACGATGACAGCTCACTGCAACCTCCACCTCTTGGGTTCAAGCAATCCTCCTGCTGGAAGAAATCCTCCCAAGTAGCTGGAATTACAGGCGCATGGCAACACACCCAGCTAACTTTTTCGTATTTTTAGTAGAGATGAGGTTTCACTATGTTGACCAGGCTGGTCTCGAACTCCTGACCTCGTGATCCACCTGTCTCATCCTCCCAAAATGCTGGGATTACAAGCATGAGCCACCGTGCCTGGCATATGTGCTTGCATTTTTGCTCACAGAGGGGTTTTCCTGGAGCTAACATGTCCTGCATTGCTTAGTACTCTGCTTTATTTTGTGCATCACACAGTTCACCATCGTTGTATTATTTAGTTTGTTAAAAGATAATTTTCCCAAAAAAGTATGTCATGATTCTCATAATTTTCAAATGAACACGTGTTAAATATTTTATTTAATTACATGAGGGAACCAAGCAGATGTCATAATCAATCCGAAAGTCAAGTCAATGAAGGGCAAATTTATCTGGAAAAAAAGAATTTTAAGAGGAATGTGCAAATGTATGCAAAACGGGCTTTTCCACCTGGGTGAAAGCTGTCCCTCTGGTGGGCAGAATTAATTTACCTATTTATAGCAAGAATGATTTTGCATTACTATCAGCTATTTACAACTTAACAGAATTATAAGACTTCTCAAAGACAAAGAAGGGCTAGAACCTCGAAGGTTGTGCTGTCTAGACAATGCATAATTTTCCATTGATGCTGTTGTGCCTACCCCTATTAACTACAGTAGGGATGGTATCAAGTTTGAAAGGCAGAAGAGATCCAGAGCCACCGAATGAGGCAGGAGGTTTACTGAGGGGACTTACAGGGCAGTCTAGTGGTGGTAGGCTGGACAGAACCACTAACATTTCTAAATAAAAAGCATCAGTTTTTACAGTATTTTCCTCCCTCCCTCCCCCGCTCCCCCTCCCCCCACCTCTTTTTTTTAGAGACAGAGTCTCTCACTGTTGCCCAGGCTGGAATGCAGTGGTGCCATCTCGGCTCACTGCAACCTCCTCCTCCCAGGGTCAAGCGATTCTTCTTGCCTCAGCCTCCCAAATAGCTGGGATTATAGGCGACTGCCACCATGCCTGGCTAACTTTTTTGTATTTTTAGTAGAGACAGGGTTTCACTATTTTGGCCAGGCTGGTCCTGAACTCCTGACTTCATGATTCGTCTGCCTTGGCCTTCCAAAGTGCTAAGATTACAGGCATGAGCCACCATGCCTGGCCTTATATAGTATTTTCAACTAGCACCCTTCGCATAACAACCTCAATCTGGAAACTTCAATTTAATCCCAAACAAAGGGCTTGATCCCTGTATGGCCAGCATTCCACAGGATAGGCCCAGGGTTCAGATGCTGCTCATAAAGAGTGAATCTCCAGGCTGGCCACTCCGTGATTCCGTATGTTGAAACTCAGAAAACGCATTCTTCTTGACCATAGGGTCATTCTCAGGTACATCTGCCATACAGGAGCACAAATTCTTCCTTGTAGATAACAGCAATGGGCGATGGTTCTTGTCCACACACATGCAAATGAATACTGTCCTGGGAACATACAAACTTCTTCCTGTGGAAAAACCAGTTCCAACTGCAGAACAGTTCTTTCTGTGGAAAAATCAGTTGGAACTCCTGGCCTCAGATAATCTGCCCACCTCGGCCCCTCAAAGTGTTAGAATTACAGGCATGAGCCACTGCACCCAGCATAAATAAAATCTTTTTTATTTTGAGATGGAGTCTCGCTCTGTCTCCCAGGTTGGAGTGCAGTGGCACATCCTTGGCTCACTGCAACCTCTGCCTCCCCGGTTCAAGTGATTCTCCTGCCTCAGTCTCCTGAGTAGCTGGGATTATAGGCACGTGCCACCATGCCCGGCTAATTTTTGTATTTTTAGTAGAGACGGGTTTCATCATGTTGGTCAGGCTGGTCTCAAACTCCTGACCTCATGATCCACCCGCCTCGGTCTCCCAAAGTGTTGGGATTACAGGCGTAATCCACAGTGCCCAGCCAAAATCTTTAACACATATTCATCTCTTGAAAATTCTAAACATCTGGCATCACTGGACCCGGCTTCCCACATTGAAACAAAAACATGCACATGACTAGAGCCTGCATAGTTTGCCAAGAACCATCCTTCAATTCCTGAAACTTATTATAAGCACCTGCAATCCTTTAACATTTTTACATTGTTGGAGCTCAGAAAACCATCTCTCAGAGCATGGTGTTTTGGCATGCAGAGTACTTTGAACTAAGTGACTGGAAAGCCGCAGAAGCAGCCTCAGAGCAAAGTCTCTCTGACATCCTGCCCGTCTTTCTCCTCCCAAGGTAAGCCACAGAAATTCCAATTCCTCTTTCCCAGATGGGTCCGAGAAACTCGAACCCCTCTCCCCCAAAGCCAGCCATAAAGCCTAGATATATTACTCCAGTCTCCCCCTATTTTTGTTTATTTATTTATTTTTGAGACAGAGTTTTGCTCATTTCCCTAGCTGGAGTGTAGCAGTGTGATCTTGGCTCACTGCAACCTCCGCCTCCCGGGTTCAAGCAATTCTCCTGCCTCAGCCTCTGGAGTAGCTGGAATTACAGGCAGCTGCCACCATACCTGGCTAATTTTGTATTTTTAGTAGAGATGGGGTTTCTCCATGTTGGTCAGGCTGGTCTCCTCTCAAACTCCCAACCTCAAGCAATCCACCTGCCTCAGCCTCTCAAAATGCTGGGATTACAGGCGTGAGCCACTGCACACAGCTAGTTCTGTTTAAGAGCTGGCCATAAATAAATTCTCAGCCAGGCACGGTGGCTCACACCTGTAATCCGAGCAGTATGGGAGACTCGCACACCGAACACACACACCGCCACACAGTTTCTGATCTAGCAGGTCTGGGATGAGGCCCAAGAATTTGTCTTTATAATAAATCTCCAGCTGACATTGATGCTGATGGTCTGGAGACCGCAACAGAAAGGACAAAGGCTAAGTGCGCAGGAAGTGTTTGAGGAGTTTAATGTAGTGTTTGGGTGTGCAGGCCATTGTGATTAGACAGAACTATGTTGTTTTCATCTAAGAAATAAGGATAAGTGCCTACTTCATAGGGTTGTTTTAAATCTAAAAGAGATAACATATATAAATATGTATCAGCTGGGTGTGGTAGTGCAAGTGCCTGTAGTCTCAGCTACTTGGGAGGCTGAGATAGGAGGACTGCTTGAGCCCAGGGGTTCAAAATCAGCCTTGACAACATAATGACACCCGTCTCTATTAAAAAAAAAAAAAATTAAAAGGCCAGGAATGGTGGCTCACATCTGTAATCCCAGCACTTGGGGAGGCCAAGGCAGAAGGATCACCTGAGATCAGGAGTTCAAGATCAGCCTGGCTAACATGGTGAAACCCTGTCTCAACTAACAATGCAAAAATTAGCTGGGCTTGGTGGTACGTGCCTGTAATCCCAGCTACTTAGCAGGCTGAAACCGCAGAATCGCTAGAACCCAGGAGGTGGAGGCTGCAGCAAGCAGAGATTGCACCACCGCTCTTCAGCCTGCCAAAAAATAAAAGATTAATTAAACAAAAACAAAGTACCTAGCCTCTGGTGTTTCTTTACAGTCACACAATGACAGACCAACACACAGCTTAAGCTGAAATACCAATCTCTGCCCTTGGCACTCCTGAATTGCAGGCCTTCAGATTTGGATTGGAATCTATACCACTGGCTCTCGAGCTCTCAGGCCCTTGAACCACACCACTGGCTTTCCCGGGTCTCCAGCTTGCAGAAGCAGATCAGATGACTTTTCAGCTTCTCTATTGATTTTTATTTTTTTTCTAGAGACAGAGTCTAGCTGTTGCCCACACTGGAGTGCAGTGGCACAACCATAAGTCACAGTTACCGCCTCCAACTTCTGGGTTCAAGTATCCTCCCATCTCAGGCTCTCAGGCAGCTAGGTCTATAGGTATATGTGTCACCATGCCCAGCTCCTTTTTAAATTTTTTGTAGAGATGGGGTCCCCCTATGTTGCCCAGGCTGGTCTTGCACTCCTGGGCTCAGGCAACCCTCCCACCTCAGCCTGCCATAGTGCTGGGATTATGATTACAGGCATAAGCCATCAGGTCTGACCTTTTTTTTGAGACAAGCCTTGCTTTGTTGCACAGGCTGGAGTGCAATGGTGCAATCACAGCTCACTGCAGCCTCAACTTCCTGGGCTCAAGTGATCCTCCCACCTCAGCCTCCCTAGTAGGTGGGACTTATACAGGCATGGGACACCACACCCAGCCAATTTTTTTTCTATTTTTTTGTAGAGATGGGGTCTTTTTTTTTTTTTTTTTTTGAGACGGAGTTTCACTCTTGTTACCCAGGCTAGAGTGCAATGGCGTGATCTCGGCTCACCGCAACCTCCGCCTCCTGGGTTCAAGCAATTCTCCTGCCTCAGCCTCCTGAGTAGCTGTGATTACAGGCACGCGCCACCACGCCCAGCTAATTTTTTTTATTTTTAGTAGAGACGGGGTTTCACCATGTTGACCAGGATGGTCTCGATCTCTGGACCTCATGATCCACCTGCCTCGGCCTCCCAAAGTGCTGGGATTACAGACTTGAGCCACCGCGCCCTGCCCGAGATGGGGTCTTACTACATTACCCAGACTGGTCTCAAACTCTTAGATTCCAGCAGTCCTCCTGCCCAGCCTTCCCAAAGTGTTGGGATTACAGGCATGAGCTACCACACTCAGTCTTTTCAGCTTCTAATTTGGTGAGCCACTACCTTGTACTAAATCTCTTCCTAGATATATATCCTGTTGGTTCTGTTTCTCTGGGGAACCCTAATACAAGCCCTTGGAGGTCGTGATGAGAGAACATGGATTTATTGTGAAAGCAGCCCTTTCTGTGCCTTACTTTCCAGTCTCCTCCTACCAGGGCTCCTTGCTTCCATCTGGCCCTGCTTAAATCTCTCTTCAGCATAGCTGCCAGAATGACCTTTCCAAAAAACACACATCTGCTCATGTCACTTCCCTGCCCAACACATTTCAATGGCTCTGTATCTCCCACCTCATAAAGACCCAACTCCTTGCCTTCATTAACTGAACCCAAACTTTGCTGAGGTGCCGTCCACTCCCCACCCAGCCACGCACACCTCAGGGACACGCAGACCCCCTTCATCTCCAGCTCGGGGTCTGACTGATTTATGGAGACTCTCACTTCCCAAGCAAGGATGGCTAAAAATTTGGAAGTTGAGTAGAGGGTGGGTACTTAGAGAGGGGTTTCCTTACTGTAGGGAGAGAGCCATAGAAAGCCACCCTCTCCGCAGCAGAAATGAAGGAGGAAGAGCAAAGGCCAGCTGCTGCAGGCAGCCAACCATGGCTGCTGCAGGTGCTGTGGCCAGGAGACCAGCGAGAGAGAAGGACCCAGGGTCCTCACCAATGTCACCATACGGAAAATTAACCAACCCTGCAACCTGCCTTACCCGTGAACTTCCTGCTAAGTAGGATAAGCTGCCTTGAATCTGGGTTTTATTATTTGCATGGGATGAAATGCTTAGACCTTTAACCTGGCAAAGAGCCATTAGCCCAGCTAATTTCTGCATTTTTTTGTAGAGATGGGGGTTTCACCATGTTGCCCAGGAACTGGTCTCCCACTCACTAAAGTGAGTCCCTTGCAGCCAAGATATATATATATTTTTCTTTTTTTAGATGGGGTTTCACCATATTGGTCAGGCTGGTCTCGAACTCCTGACCTCGGGTGATCCGCCCACCTCAGCATCCCTAAGTGCTGGGATTACAGGCGTGAGCCACCGTGCCTGGCAAAGGTAGATCATGCCATGGTTCCACTGGGGCTCAAACCCAGGACCTTGCAGCCAAGATCATAGAATATGACTCTCACTGACCAGGGGTAGATGGCTGACCCAGGCTAGGCCAATTGGATTCACCCCTTTGAGTCTGTATGTGGAATACTGGTTAAATTAAATAATTTAATTAAAATTTTAAAATAATTAGTAGTGTAGGAGAAGAGAGATGATTTAGCTTCAGGGCTGCGGCAGCTGTTGGCCAACTGCAGAGATAAAGAGAAAGGCAGCCTGCAGAGGGAAAACGAGGGGAACAGACACACAGAGGGGATAAATGCTAGAAACTGCCATCTCAGAGGGCTGAATGGCTTCCTTCCACCCCAACAGGTTTCTTGGCGCAGATTCCATTCTCTTGTGAGGTCCAGTTGGAAGTCCTGCCCTTTAGATCTGTGAGAGTCCTAATTCTTCCAACAAATTCCTTTCATAGTTTCAGTTGGTCTAAGTGTGTTTTAATGGATCGCCACCAAGATCACTGTTTCTAAGGATGAAAATAATGGTATTTTCATTATACTCTCAAAACACCGGGGATAGGCTTGAGGTTATTTAAAACATGTGAAGGCCGGGCATGGTGGCTCACTCCTGTAATCCCAGCACTTTGGGAGGCTGAGGTGGGTGGATCACGAGGTCAGGAGTTCAAGACCAAACTGGACAATATGGTGAAACCCCATGTTTACCAAAAATATACAAAAATTAGCTGGACGTGGTGGCTCATACGTGTAATCCCAGTTACTTGGGAGGCTGAGGTAGTAGAATTGCTTGAACCAGGATCTGGGAGCTGAGATCATGCCACTGCAGTCCAGCCTGGTGGGCTACAGATTGAGACTCCATCTCAAAAAAAAAAAAAAAAAAAAAAGTGAAATTCCTTCCAACACTTTTACTTAAGACTGGTGTGGTGGCATGCACCTGTGATCCCAGCTACTCAGAAGGCTGAGATGGGAGGATTACTTGAGCCCAGGAGTTCAAGCTGCAGTGAGCTATAATTGTGCCACTGCACTCCAGTGTGGGTAACAGAGCAATACCCTCTCTCTTTAAAAAAATAAAAATAAAAAACAATAAACCAATCCTACTGATCCTGAGCAAAACCCCCAAACAGCAGACAGACGTCTGGAGCTGCTTTCCAGACAGCACAGCACAGTCAACTTGAGGAAGGAGTAGTTTTATTAATTTCACTTTTCTTCTTGAGACAGAGTCTTGCTCTGTTCCCTAGGCTGGAATACAATGGGAGTTAAAGTGATTCTCGTGCCTCAGCCACCCAAGTAGCTGGGATTACAGGTAAGTGCCACCACACCTGGCTAATTTTTGTACTTTTTAGTAGAGGCAAGGTTTCACCATGTTGGCCAGACTGGTCTAGAACTTCCGGCCTCAAGTGATCCACCCACCTTGGTCTCCCAAAGTATTGAGATTACAGGTGTGAGCCACCACGCCCACCTCTAATTTACCATTTTTTAAAAAATGTGGTAAAATGCAGAAAACATAAAAATTTACTATCTCAGTCATTTTTAAGTGTACAGTTCAGTGGCATTAAATATCTTTACAATGTTGTGCAATTATCACCACCATTGGCCCCCCGTAACTTTTCATCTTGTAAAACTCAAACTCTATACCCTAAACAGTAACTTCCCATTTCTGCCTCCCCAAGCCCGACAACCACCATTGTACGTTCTGCCTCTATAATTCTGATTATAGTATGTACTTCAAATAAGTAAAAAGTTTTTTTTTTTTTGAAACGGAGTCTTACTCTGCCCCCAGGCTGGAGTATAAATGGCATGATCTTGGCTCACTGCAACCTCCACTTCCTGGGAAGTGGATCCACCTGCCTCGGCCTCCCAAAGTGCTGGGATTACAGGTGTGAGTCATCATGTCCAGCTGGGTATATTCTTTAAGCAAAGACTAGGACTCTATGGGGCTCAACAAACTCTGTGATCGCCTTTCTCTCTACTTCCCTGGACAAAAGAAATATATTGTATACTGTCAGAGAGCAAATTATCCCCAAACCAAGTATAAACATTTACTATCTCACAGTTCATGTGTGTCTGAAATTCCAGAGCAGCTTCTCTGAGTGGTTTTGGCTTAGGGTCTCCTATAGAGGTCACAGTCAAGATCAGCCAGGACTGCAGTCACGCGAATGACTGGCTGGAAATAGAGGACCAGCTTCCAGGATGGCACACTACCATGGCTGTTGTTGGGTATCTTCAAGATCTGGAAGCTGGCTTCCCCCAAAGTAAGTGATCCAAGAGAACAAAACAGAAGCCATGATGTATTTTACGACTTACCCTCAGAAGTCAAACTCTCATTTCTTCAACAGCATAATGGTTACACAAGTCAGGCCTATTCACTGTGAGAAGAAACCACACAAGGGTGTGAACAGTAGAAAGAAAGGATGGTTGGGGGCCATCTTAGAGGCTGGCTGTCACGCAGGGGAAGCCTAGAAGCCTCATAGGCATTTGTGTATCCTGGCACCATCCTGCTTTCACTTTTGTTATTCCTCTTCACTGAAGACCCCAAGAAGCGTTATCTCATTTCAGAAACCAGCAGAGATGATGACTTACAAGTCATGGAGGAAGGAAGAGATGGATTTGAAGCGAAAGCCACAAAATAGGCGGGGTGGAGGTCTCCAGTCCAAGGACCAGGTCTGGAGAACTGGAAAACAGGAACAGATGACATTTAGGGAAGGGAGACACAGGCTGCCCCAAGGTTCAAGAATAAAGGGTAGCATAAGACAAGGGCGCTTACCCTTGGCAGTGGAGTTCACTTTTCCCTTTACAACCCCAAAGAAAGTCTGGCGTCCAGTTCAGCCCTGCTTGTGTCACATCTCCTTCACTGTTCTGAGTCCTTGGGGCCTGAGAACTGGGACCCATGAGTCCTGCTGCCCAGCTGCTATGGGCTGAATTGTGTCCCCCTAAATTCTTACAATGAGAAACCCCAGCACCTCAGAATGAGACTGCACTTGGAAACTGAGCATTTAATGAGGGTATTAAGTTAAAATGAGGCTGGTAGGATGGAGTGGGCCCTAATCCAGTCTGACTGGTGCTCCTAGAAGAGGAACATTGGGCACATAATGAAACCAGACATGTGTGTGCGTGGAGGGAAGACCGCACAGGAAAACAGTAAGAAGACAGCTGTCTGCAAGCCAAGAAGAGAGGCCTCAGGAAAAACCAAGCCTGCTGATACCTTGATCTTGAACTTCTAGCCTCCAGAAATGTGAGAAAATAAATCTCTGTTGTTTAAACCACCTGGTTCTGTGGTACTTTGTTATGGTGGCCCTAGCAAACTGAAACCCAAGCCTTCTGCACTGTTCTGGGATGTCAGCTTTTCCATGAACTAACTCCTACCCTTCTCTGTGTAATGTGTGAAAAACCAGTCACGGAGAATGCCTTTCCAGAGTCAAGGAGATGGGTTGGGCTTCCCCAGCCAACTGGCAAGGATGGGCCTGTGGTGGAGCCATAAATGCACTTGTGTGCAGTCACAGATTGTTTTCACTCTCAGTTCCTTCGGCGAACTTCCCGATAGGTCCCAGGTCTCCTTTTGGTCTCTGAAGGCTGTTTCTAAGGTCACAGGTTCTTAGGGCAATCTCCACTGCCGGACACATCCTCTCCCTAGCTGGAAAGCACCTTCTGGATTCGTTCCTTTACTTCTTTTGGTCCCAAAGACACCATCATCTCAGCTATAGGAGGTCCTTGCTAAGAACGAAAAGAGCAAATATTGCCTTATGACCTTCAGCTGCCTAAAGAACTGAAGCTCAGCCTCAGTCTGCGGAAATTATTCCCAGGCCAGCCCCCACACTGCTGCCTGTCTTCTGAGGGAGACCACTAGTGTTGGTTCCCTGGACAACGATGGGTCCCGGGAGCCTGTTTCTCCCTCTACCCCCTCTTTTTTTTTTTTTTTAAAGATGGAGTCTCACTCTGTTGCCAGGCTGGAGTGCAGTGGTGCGATCTCGGCTCAATGCAAGCTCCGTCTGCCATTAAGGTGATTCTTCTCATGCCTCACCCTCCCAAGTAGCTGAGATTACAGGCCTGCACTACCACGCCTAGCTAATCTTTGTATTGTTAGTAGAGATAAGTTTTCACCAAGTTGCCCAGACTGGTCTGAAACTCCTGACCTCAGGCAATCTGCCTGCCTAGGCCTCTCAAAGTGCTGGAACTGCAGGTATGAGCCACCATGCCTGGCCTGTTTTTCCCATATTAAGTAAGCTATTGCTAGGTCTGTTATCTCCAATAAACTGCAAACCTCATGGAGACAGAGATTATGTGTGTTTCATTCTATACTGTATCCACTGTACCTAACACAATGCTTGCACGTAGTCGGTAGTCAATACTGTCTGCTGACTGACTGAATGAGGGGAGTGATCATGTTTCATTCATCTTTGTATCCCCAACATTGAGCTCGGTGCCTGCTAGGAAATGTAGGTTGAAAGGATCAATGAGGGGCTCCAGGGAACAATCCAACTCATATCCCTGCCTCACCTGCTGTCCACTGAGGGCCACCCGGAGGAGTTTCATCACATTACTGTGCTTGGTGCCTTCCAGGCCTTCTGAAAGCTTCTTCAGTTCTCCACTCAACGCATCCTGAGTTAAGGTCATACCAGATCTTTCTAGAAGCCTGGAAGAAGAGGGGCAGTCTACAGGACCTGCATGGGCCAATGGCAAGTGGGTGGGAGGAAGGGTTTCAGAAGGTTATTGATTGTGCAGCTACAGTACAAGCAGCACAATCAGTGTTCAAGCCTGTTTTGAGGGAGGTGAGGAAGATATCGACCACCTGCTTCCTTATCCAGGACAGGAAGAAATAACCACCAAGGGACCACGCACAGAGAAGCCAGCGGGCACAATGCATGGGGGTAAGACGTGCCATAAGAGGCTTTACTCATCGCTACCTCTGTGTCATGCAAGCTCTATGCCTCAGTTTTCTCATCTGTTAAGTGGGGAGAATAATAGTATCTGAGGCCAGGAGCAGTGGCTCACACCTGTAATCCCAGCACACTGAAAGGCTGAGATGGGCAGATCACTCCAGGTTAGGAGTTTGAGACCAACTTGGCCAACATGGTGAAACCCCATTTCTACTAAAAATACAAAAATATTAGACAGGGGTGGTGGTGGGCACCTGTAGTCCCAGCTACTCAGGAGGCTGAGGCAGTAGAATTGCTTGAACCCAAGAGGTGGAGGTTGCCGTGAGCTGAGATCATGACACTGCACTCCAGCCTGGGCAACGGAGCGGGACTTTTTCTCAAAATCAATCAATAAATAATAGTATCTGTCCTCCCCAGGGCTATCATAAAGAGTTAAAACTTATAAAGTACCAAGTGCCTGAACACAAGATATACACTCAGAAGTATTACATCTTTTTTTTTTTAGATGGAGTCTCACTCTGTTTCCCAGGCTGCAGTGCAATGGCACAATCTCGGCTAACGGAAACCTCTACCTCCTGGGTTCAAGTGATTCTCCTGCCTCATCCTTCCAAGTAGCTGGGATTACAAGCATGTGCCACTTCCCGTGGCTAATATTTTTGTATTTTTAGTAGAGATGGGGTTTCACCATGTTGGTCAGGCTGGTCTTGAACTCCTGACCTCAGGTGATCTGCCTGCGTTGGCCTCCCAAAGTGCTGGGATTACAGACGTGAGCCATTGCCCCCAGCCAAGTATTACATTTTATATTTGAATTTAAAGTTTTAAAAAATTAGTTACCTTAAGTACATTCACAAGCTTTGAGATATTACAAAAGGATCTAAAAAGAAACTTAGGTCTGCTTGCAGGAAGAACAACAAAAAAGAAATTTAGGAAGGCCGGGCGTGGTGGCTCACGCCTATAATCCCAGCACTTTGGGGGGGCCGAGGCGGGTGGATCACAAGGTCAAGAAATCGAGACCATCCTGGTCAACAGGTGAAACCCCGTCTCTACTAAAAATACAAAAATTAGCTGGGCATGGTGGTGCGCTCCTGTAGTCCCACCTACTCGGGAGGCTGAGGCAGGAGAATTGCTTGAACCCAGGAGGCGGAGGTTGCAGTGAGCCGAGATTGTGCCATTGCACTCCAGCCTGGGTAACAAGAGCGAAACTCCGTCTCAAAAAAAAAAAAAGAAACTTAGGAATGGATTTGACATAGAAGAATGGATAATCTCTGGGAAATTATCTGAAATACAGCTTTGAGATTGGTAGAGGGAGACTTCTTTGGAGATATAGCTGAGAACAGAAGAAATCAGAAGGCCCCACCCAGCTCCAGCAATGACCCCACCACCAACTTGCTACAACCTTTCTTCCACAAATTGAAACATTCTAGCATCTAAATTCAAAGGGGCCAGCAACCATCCCCCACATCCTGGCAGTCCAGGGGAGCAAGATCCTCTCTGCAAAAGCTTTAGCTTTGGGAGAAATTCTCTATTCAGTTAGAGTTGGACTTGCAACAAATTTGCCCCAGCCCTGATTATTATTATTATTTTGAGAGACAGGGTCTTGCTGTCACCCAGGCTGAATTGCAGTAGTACAATCATAGTTCACTGCAGCCTCAAACTCCTGTGCTCAAATGATCCTCACACCTTAGCCTTCTGAATAGCTGGGACCACAGGTGCCTGCCAGCATACCTGGCTAATTTTATTTTTACTTTTTGTAGAGATGGGGTCAAGGTATGTTGCCCAGGCTAGTCTCAAACTCCTGGCTTCAAGCAATCCTCCCCATTCACCCTCCCAGAATACTGAGATTATAGGAACGAGCCACAGTGCCCAGCCTCCCCTCAGTTATTACTGGAGATTCCACAATGGAGACACAGAAGAGGAACTGGGGCTGGACATCTTCCTGGTCCAGATGACCTGTGATGCCAATTCTGATCCTGCCTGCTCAAACATGGTCCAGGCAACTGCATTCCAAAGTCAACTCCGTATGGACCACTACTGGCTCAGGCAACTGGGTTCATAAGTGATTTGAAGAAACAGCCTTTTAGTGCAGACAGACTTCCTTACTATCAGCACTGGAGCAGATGAGTTTCAGTTTGAGACAAGGGTGATCGTTCTTATTGCATCATCTCTATGTTCTGAATGTTTGTGTTCCCCTAAATTCACATGTTGAAAGTTCAACCCCCACGGTGACAGTATTCAGAGGTGTGGCCTTTAGGAAGTGATCAGGTCATTTGGGCCGAGCTCTCATACACAGATGAGTTCCTTTATAAAAGACACCCCAGAGAGGTCCCTCATCCCTCCACCATATAAGGACACAGCGAAGGGCTGGAAAAGGGAAGGGCCCAGGAACAAGGCCCTCACCAGGTACTGAATTGGCGGCACCTTGACCTGGACTTCTAGCCTCTAGACCTATGAGAAATGAACGTCTGCTGCTGAAGCCCTAGTCTATGTTATTTTGCTATAGCAACCCCATGGACTGAGACAATTATTAACTGGGTCACATGAGTACTGCTATTTACAAAATCCAGGAGATGAAATACTGAATATATAAAATATAATATGGGAAAAAAGTACTCTCTCTGACGGCACTGCAGGGAAGCAGGCTGCCGGGGGAACTGATGAAAGAATGACAGGCCCCAGGCCAGGAACAATGGTAGTTCCAGACCTGCTAGAGCTGGCCCAGACCTTGGTATGGGCACAGAAGGGATTTCTAGTGACCTGGCAGCTCCTGAACATTTGGATATCAGCTTTCCTGACTCAAAAGGGAGTCCCAGAGCAAATCTGAAATCCAACCTCGTGGTGGAGACGGGCAGTTAGGACACTGAATCCTGATGAATTATAACTAATAGGCTCTGGCCAGGCACCATGGCTCACACTTCTAATCCCAGCACTCTGGGAGGCTGAGGCATGAAGATCTCATGAGCCTAGGAGTTTGAGACCAGCCTGGGCAACATGGCAAGACCTCATCTCTATAAAAAAATAAAAATATTAGCTGATGTGGTGGCCTGTAGTCCCAGTTACACAAAGAGGCTGAGGTGGGAGGATGAGCCCTGAGCTGCTTCCTGCAGATTGCTACATAAGGGAGAAATTCCACAGGGGATATGAGCTGTCATTTCTTTTGTCTGGTAAAGAAACCTGCCCTCTAGTTACCTAATACAGAGCCTCTGCAGGAAGCATGGTCCGCGTGGAGGGGTGGGAGCAGAAGGTGAAAGGCAGAGAGAGAAAGTGAATCTTGATAATGGAGTACCAACTCCTGCATTAAGCTGTGTTTCACGCAACCCATCTTCTAGCCTCTGCAGTTACATAAGCAAGCATTCCTCTCTTGCCTAAGCCAGCTTTGGTTGTGTTTGTAATCGAAAGTCATTACTATTGCAATAAGAATTAGCATCATCTCTCTCTTACCAAGAAGGAAAAGGAAGCTCAGATAGGTGCAGTAACTTGGCCAAAGGGAAGCTGCCTGAGCAAGGTGACATAAGCTGGTGAGTACGTGGCAGAGCTGGGATGCAACCCATGTTGGGCCAAGCAGTGAACACAGGCCTATGTCCACGAAAAGCCTGGGTCTCCTAGGTAAGCCCTCCTCACCAATGAAAGCCAGTGAAGGGTTACTTCTTCACTAGCCATGGGGTTGTGCCGGGGCCCAACAGCCCAGCCCTGAAGGAAGAAAGGGGGCCATGGGAGGGAGCGAGGGAAGGAGGCTGTGGAACCCTGAGCTCAGCCTATGGGTACTCACCCCAGCACACGCTTGGCAATCACATCCACTTTCTCTGAGATAGCTTCCAGCTGCACTCGACCCACCGCAGGGCGAGTCCACAGGTAGGAGTACACTGGGGACACCAAGTCCTGCAGGCGGCAAATGTGACCCTGGGGAAGCAGGAAGTCTGAATGAACTAGAAACAGAACTCTGGAAGGGAGGAGAAATTGGGGCACCCACCCTCCCTCAGTCTCCCAGACCCCTGACACCTACCTGTCTCAGCAGGAGGATCCTCTCCATGTAGGCTGGGTTGAGGACATCCCTGTTTTGCAGCTGGCTCCCAAAAGCCTCCTCCACAAGGGCCTGTAGCTTCCCCACCAGCAGGCACCTCTGGCTCTCACTGCTCACCAGCCGCTGGAGGTGCAGCCTGGGTGAGAAGTCAAGGGGCTGTCACCCCAACCCACCAAAACCGTCTCTCCCCCAGAGAAAGGGTGAAATGGGAAGAATGACACATCAGGACACATAAGCCTTCCTTTTCACAAGGTAGAAGTAGAATTCTCTTTACATTTACAAAAATAAAGTGCTGTGAGTAATGCTTTGTTTTCAGTGGTTTTGTTTTTGTTTGAGAGTCTTGCTCTGTTACCCAGGCTGGAGTGCAGGACCACGATCACAGCTTACTACAGCCTAGACTCCTTAGGCTCAAGCAAACCTCCCACCTCACATTCCCAAGTAGCTGGGCCCACAGGCACACTTCACCATGTCCAGCTAATTTTTCTATTTTTTGTAAAGACAGGGTCTTGCTATGTTGCCCACACTAGGCAACAAGCAATCCACCCAGCTTGGCCTCCCCAAGAACCAGGATTAGAGGTGTGAGCCACCACGCCCAGCCACATTTTCAGTGTTTTCAAAATAATAGCTGACATTTTATTTGTTTTTTTTGAGAAGGAGTCTTGCTCAGTCGCCCATGCTGGAGTGCAGTGGTGCGATCTCCATTCACTGCAACCTCTGCTTCCCAGGTTCAAGCGATTCTCCTGCTTCAGCCTCCTGAGCAGCTGGGATCACAAGCATCCACCACCATGCCCAGCTAATTTTTGTATTTTTAGTAGAAATGGGGTTTCACCGTGTTGGCCAGGTTGGTCTCGAATTCCTGACCTCAAGTGATCTGCTGGCCTCAGCCAAAGAGCTGGGATTACAGGCATGAGCCACTGCACCCAGCTATTTTTATTTTTTAGAGACAGGGTACTGCTATTGCCCAGGCTGGAGTGTAGTGGTACCAAACACCTGGGCTCAAGCAAACCTCTTGCCTCAGCTTCCCGAGTGAGTAAGCTGTGACTACAGGCGTGCACCACCACACCTGGCTAATTTTTAAACTTATCTTGTAGAGACAGGGTCTTGCTATATTGCTCAGGTTAATCTCGAACTCCTAGGCTCAACCAATTCTCCCATCTCAGCCTCCCAAAGCCCTAGGATTACAGGCATAAACCATAGCACCTGGACAGTAGCCAACATTTTAAACTAGAAGAGATCATGGAAAAACAGAGTTCTGACTTCTCTTGGGCTATGAGAAAATCTGGCTGCAAAGAGCCCTTGCTGCCCAAGACTTCAACAGGCCGGGCAAAGTGGAGGCTTCCCACTTTAGACTGACAGGAGCGTCACTGCAGTCTGTCAGTCCCTCTGCTCCTCAGTATCTCTTACCCAGCCCCCACTGCCTCCCTGTGCTGCCTGCCTGGCCTCCACATGAGGCTGAATTTACAAAGCAGAATACAGAGTGTCTGCCTTCCAGTCTAGCTTCAACTGTGGGGCTTTGGCACAGAAAAGGAGGTCAAGAATATGATTTCTAAGACTAGGAGGCAGAGGGCAGATGTGTTTGAATTAAGTGCTCACAGTTTAAAAGCCGGGGCCTTCTCCTTTCCAGAATTCCTCATTTTAAAAAATTTTTTAGTTTTTTACTTTTTTTAGACAGTCTTACTCTGTCGCCCAGGCTGGAGTGCAGTGGTACGATCTCAGCTCACTGCAACCTCTATCTCCTGCATTCAAGTGATCCTCCTGCCTCAGCCTCCAGAGTAGCTGGGATTATAGCTGTACATCCCCACACCTGGCTGATTTTTATATTTTTAGTAGAGACAAGGTTTCACCATGTTGGCCAGGCTGGTCTAGAATTCCTGACCTCAAGTGATTGGCCCACTTCAGCCTCCTGAAGTGCTGGGATTGCAGATGTGAGCCATCATGCCTGGCCTCCAGAATTCTTCTAATTACCATATTCCTTCCTTTGGAAGCAGGAAAGCCTCTATAACTCCAACCCTCAAACCACACCCTGTCAGCCTCAGCCCTTTAAACTGCCCTCCCCTCTCCTGGGCAGAATTAGAGAGACCAGACAGATGGAGCTACCCAGGGCAGAGCACCATGCTGAGATGCTTAGCTCCTTATACATGGCATGGAAGAAGGGAAGACAGGAAGGCATGGGTAAGCATCTCATAGGCTCTGAAATCGGACAGGTCTGTGTGTGAAGCCCGCCCTGCCAGGTGCTTGCAGCAGGTCATAAAATCACTTGGAGGCTCAGGATCCTCATCCAGTGGGGATAACAAGAGGGTCTCCTGCACAGGACGGTCATAGAGATTAACTAAGGGCCTTCGTGGAATACACTGACAGCAAGACCTGTACTACAACCTCATCTTGAGGCTGGAGGTGTGAAAAGATGCACTAGCATGTAAGACGGTGGACAAATGACACCCTTAGGAAAGTTATTTGCAATGCGGATTGGCCGAAAAATGTAATTTTATATATATAAAATCTATCTATCTATCTATAATCTATATATATAATCCATATATATATAATCTATATATAATCTATACATATAAATATGTTTATATTATATATATTATATAAATATGTTTATATTATATATATTATATACATATATAAAAAATATATATTTTTTGCGTGTGGTCTGAGGGAGGGTCCGAGCCAGTCGCTGTTTTGCCGAAAGAGCCCCTCAGGCTGTAGTAAGCATTAATAATGTCTTTCATCTTTGAGTGGATCTACAATGGCTTCAGCAGTGTGCTCCAGTTCCTAGGACTCTACAAGAAATCTGGAAAACTTGTATTCTTGGGTTTGGACAATGCAGGCAAAACCACTCTTCTTCACATGCTCAAAGATGACAGATTGGGCCAACATGTTCCACCACTACATCTGACATCAGAAGAGCTAACAATTGCTGGAATGACCTTTACAACTTTTGATCTTGGTCGGCACGAGCAAGCACGTCGGGTTTGGAAAAACTATCTCCCGGCAATTAATGGGATTGTCTTTCTGGTGGACTGTGCAGATCATTCTCGCCTCGTGGAATCCAAAGTTGAGCTTAATGCTTTAATGACTGATGAAACAATAGCCAATGCGCCAATGCTTATCTTAGGTAACAAAATTGACAGAACAGATTCAATCAGTGAAGAAAAACTCCGTGAGAGAACTGGATTTTATGGACAGACCACAGGAAAGGGGAATGTGACCCTGAAGGAGCTGAATGCTCGCCCCATGGAAGTGTTCATGTGCAGTGTGCTAAAGAGGCAAGGCTATGGCGAGGGTTTCCGCTGGCTCTTCCAGTATATTGACTGATGTTCAGACAGTGAAAATAAAAGAGTTTTACTTAAAAAAAAAAATACATATATTTATATTTATATATTATATATAATATATAAAATAAAAATAAAAAATAAATATAATATGTAAAATATATATTATATATATATTTTTGAGACGGAGTTTCGCTCTTGTTACCCAGGCTGGAGTGCAATGGCGCAATCTCGGCTCATCGCAACCTCCGCGTCCTGGGTTCAGGCAATTCTCCTGCCTCAGCCTCCTGCGTAGCTGGGATTGCAAGCACGCGCCACCATGCCCAGCTAATTTTTTGTATTTTTAGTAGAGACGGGGTTTCACCGTGCTGACCAGGATGGTCTCGATCTCTTGACCTTGTGATCCACCGGCCTCGGCCTCCCAAAGTGCATTACAGGCTTGGTATTACAGGCTTGAGCTGCCGCGCCCAGCCTAATAATATATATTTTTAAAGGTACTAAGAAAAACTTGTCTAGAACCTCCTATATAGCCAGATGAGACAGCTGAAGGCAAAAAATCAAGTGGCCCTCATGACCATGCTTGTGATAGATAATACATATGCAGGGCCTCGGCGCAGTGGCTCATGTCTGTAATCCCAGCATTGTGGGAGGCTGAGGCAGGTGGATCACCTGAGGTCAGGAGTTCCAGACCAACCTGGCCAAAATGGTGAAACCCCATTTCTACTAAAATTACAAAAATTAGCTGGGTGTGGTGACACATACCTATAATCCCAGCTACTTGGGAGGCTGAGGCACAAGAATTGCTTGAACCCGGGAGATGGAGGATGCAGTGAGCTGAGATCGCACCATAGCACTCCAGCCTGGGCAACAGAATGAGACTCTGTCTCAAGAAACAAACAAAGAAACAAAAAAAGAAAACACATATATGGTCCAAGAACAGAGTAAGTGCTTAATAAATGATAATGACTATTACTATTTACACCACCATAGTAGTACTACTACTGCTGGGACAACTACTATCTTGATTACTATTACTAAAAAGAATCATAGAGGTGGCTTGATTATAAAAATGTCTAAGGCTAGGCACAGTGACTCATGCCTATAATCCCAGCTCTTTGGGAGGCTGAGGCAGGTGAATCACAAGGTCAAGAGTTCGAGACCAGCCTGGCCAACACGGTGAAACCCTGTCTCTACTAAAAATACAAAAAATTACCTGGGTGTGATGGCGGCTGCATGCAATACCAGCTACTCAGGACCCGAGAGGTGGAGGTTGCAGTGAGCTGAGATTGCACCACTGCACTCCAGCCCGGGTGACAGAGATAAGACTGTTTCAAAAAAAAAAAAAAAAAAGTCTAAAAATAACAGCACTTTTGGCTGCATTAAACCTACAGGCATTAATCCTAACATCCCATCCCCTCCCTGACTCACATTAAGCAAAAGTCGGCCTTCATCTTCCTTGTGACTACTGTTCACGCTTCAAGGAGGAATTGAATGAATCACAAATTATCTCTCCTGCCCTAGCTCCATTTCTCCTGAGATACCACTTTCTCTATAATAAGGAAGACAAAAGGCTAGGCACAGTGACCCATGCCTATAATCCCAGCACTTTGGGAGGCTGAGGCAGGAGAACTGCTTGAGGCCAGGAGTTCAAGAGCTGCCTGGGTAACATGGTGAGACTCAGTTTCTATAAAAAATTAGCCAGGCATTTGGCTAATGCAAACATACGTGCACACTTGTAATCCCAGCTACTTGAAAGGGAGAAGCAGGAGGACCATCTGAGTCCAGGAATTCAAGGCTGCAGTGAAACATGATCTCTCCACTGCACTCCAGCCTGAATGACAGAGCAAGACCCTATCTCAAAAAGAAACATAAAATGATAAAAGTACAAATTGCTTATATTCTTTTTGAGATGGAGTCTCGCTGTGTCACCCAGGCTACAGTGCAGTGGCATGTTCTTGGCACGCTGCAACCTCTGCCTCCTGGGTTCAAGTGACTCTCCTGCCTCAGCTTCCTAAGTAGCTGGGATTACAGGCATATGCTACCATGCCCAAGTAATTTTTTATATTTTTAGTAGAGACGGGGTTTCACCATGTTAGCCAGGATGGCCTCGATCTTCTGACCTCATGATCTACCCACCTCGGTCTCCCAAAGTGCTGGGATTACAGGCGTGAGCCACCACGCCCAGCATAACTTTTTTTTTTTTTAAAGACAGAGTTTCACTCTGTTGCCCAGGCTGGAGTGCAGTGGGCAACACTCCACTGGATCCTGTCTCACTGCACCTCAACTTCCCAGGTTCAAGTGATCCTCCTGCCTCAGCCTCCCAAGTAGCTGGGACTACAAGCATGTACCATGCCTAGCTATTTTTTTGTATTTTTAGTAGAGACGGGGTTTCACCATGTTAGCCAGGCTGGTCTCAAACTCTTGACCTCAAGTGTTCTGCCCGCCTTGGCCTTCCAAAGTGCTGGTATTAAAGGTGTGAGCCACCATGCCCAGTCAACTAATACCCTTTGACTCAGACACGTCAACAGTGATCTGAGCTGGAATGATATTTGCAGGTTCCAAAGTGAAGAGCTACTTGCAATATCAAATACATGAAATATAAACTAGATGCCACGAGACAGTGCTTACTCCCTGTGTTGACTGGGTGTGAGGCTGAGTAGGCGAGGTGAGTCTAAAATGAAGATACCCCTCTCCAGGCTTTGGTTGTTAACAGAGTCCACACAAGGGGTGGCCAGAAACACAATGCTCATGATAAAAACATACGTACCATTTACTGAGCACTTTCTATGTGCCAGGGCTATACGAGATACTTTCATACAACATTTAATACAAGATACTTTCATAAAACAATCTTATATGATTGTTGTATGTATAAAATGAGACTATGTTATTAATCCCATTTTAGAGAAGAGGAAATAGAGGCTCAAAGAGGTTAGGTGATTTAGCCATGGTAACAGAGAATTAGGTACCAGAGCCTGTTATCCCCTCTGCTGTAGGGACCGTCATGAGCAAGAAAGTCCTTTCCCACCAGGGCATCGCCATGCTCCCTACTCACCTGTTGAATTCTGGGAGCTTCTCCAAGTCCAACAGGGCTGAGTGGCAGGTGATCTGGGTCAGGTCGAACTGTGTGATCAGCTCCGGCAGAGTCCTGCCCATCTGGTTCCCTGTAAAGAAGAGACGCCCAGCCACTCAGGTTCCTTCCTCTCTTCCTCGTTCCACTTTATCTTTTTTTTGAGAGACGGAGTTTCGCTCTTGTTATCCAGGCTGGAGTGCAATGGCGCGATCACGGCTCACCGCAACCTCCGCATCCTGGGTTCAGGCAATTCTCCAGCCTCAGCCTCCTGAGTAGCTGGAATTACAGGCATGCGCCACCATGCCCAACTAATTTTTTTTGTATTTTCAGTAGAGGCAGGGTTTCACCATGTTGACCAGGATGGTCTCGATCTCTTGACCTCATGATACACCCACCTTGGCCTCCCAAAGTGGTGGGATTATAGATGTGACCCACCGCGCCCGGCTCACTTTATCTTTTTTTAAGAGACATGGTCTTGCTCTGTTGCCCAGGCAGGAGTGCAGTGGTACAATTATAGCTCACTGTAACCTCCAACTCCCGGGCTCAAGTGATCTTCCAGCCTGCCTCACCCAGCTAATTTTTAAATTTTTCTGTAGGGCCAGGCATGGTGGCTCACACCTGTAATCCCAGCATTTTGGAAGGCCGAGGTAGGCAGATCACAAGGTCAGGAGTTCCAGACCAGCTTGGCCAATGTGGTGAAACCCTGTCTCTACTAAAAATACAAAAAATTAGCTGGGCATGGTGGCACGTGCCTGTAATCCCAGCTACTCAGGAAGCTGAGGCAGGAGAATTGCCTGAAGCCAGGAGACGGAGGCTGCGGTGAGCCGTGATCGCGCCATTGCACTCCAGCCTGGGTAACAAGAGCGAAACTCTGTCTCAAAAAAAAAAAAAAGAAAACATTAGCCAGGCGTGGTGGTAAACACCTGTAATCCCAGCTACTCTGGAGGCTGAGCAGAAGAATCACTTGAACCTGAGAGGTGGAGGTTGCAGTGAGCTAAGATGACACAACTGCATTCCAGGCTGGGTGACAGAATGAGACTCTGGCTCATAAATAGGGATGGAGTTTCACTATATTGCCCAGGCTAGTCTCAAACTCCCAGGCTCAAATGATCCTTCCACATTGGCCTCCCAAAGTGCTGGGCTTAAGGCATGAGTCACTGTGCCCGCCCTCCTTCTATTGTCAAACACAAGGGAGGCTGAGTTAGCAAGCCCTGGGCCCCACATTCCACTTGAATAAAGGGATTTAACTTCTAGCTATGTATATATCAAGAGGCTGAATGAGCTCTTATTTTCAGTAAGGATTCCATCGTTAAGGAAAAAAAGGTCTGAAAACAATCAGGCTAATCCCATTCCCATTACTCTGAAGTCATGAGCTGCAGAACAGTACACCCATAGCCCAGCTGTACTGGAGATTCTGAGTCGACTGGTTTTGGTTGGGGTCTGGGCGTATTTTACAAGCTTCCTAGTTGATTCCAAAGCACAGTCAGGAGTTAAGAACCATGGTTCTAGTGGAGCTTCTTGTGAGCAGCAGCTCAGTCCCACATGGTAACAGGCACTTTGATCAGGCATAGGCCTAAAATGCCATTCTCTCTCACTAGGTGTGTGACTGTGACAAGTTACTCAGCTTCTCTGAGCCTCACAATCCTCTTATAAACAGCGGATGTAAGTATCTACCCCTTAATAGTATGTTGTGAGGCCGGGCGCGGTGGCTCATGCCTATAATCCCAGCACTTTGGGAGGCCAAGGCGGGTGGATCACAAGGTCAAGAGATCAAGACCATCCTGGTCAACATGGTGAAACCCCGTCTCTACTAAAAATACAAAAAAATTAGCTGGGCATGGTGGTGCGTGCCTGTAGTCCCAGCTACTCGGGAAGCTGAGGCAGGAGAATCCCTTGAACCCAGGAGGCGGAGGTTGCGGTGAGCCGAGATCGTGCCATTGCACTCCAGCCTGGGTAATAAGAGCGAAACTCCGTCTCTAAAAAAAAAAAAAAAAAAAAAGTATGTTGTGTTAAATGAAATGAGACCAGCAGGCAGACTATTTTAGACACATTTTCAAAAATCCTTGCCACAAAGGGGTTATCCTATTTGATGCTTGCTTCTTCAAGATTTGGGTCTAAGCCTTGGACCATGGATAAGTGCTCGGCTTGAAATAAACTAGACTCATCTGGCAGTAAAAGGAAAAAGGAAAAAAAGAAACTAGATCCATATGAATACTGGTCATACTATTAGCATACATGCTTGTAATAGCAGTAATAATGTAACTGTCATAATCATAGGGTCTGTCATTTTTTGTGCTTATTGTGTGACAGCTGCTGGGCTGGGTACCTTACACTTCTGAGCTCAGTGAATCCTAACCCGATGAGGTAGACATTTGTCCGCATTTTGCAGATAGGCAACTGAGGCTCAGAGACTATAAGCCCCTTGAGGACAGGGATCATGTCTGTCTTGCTCACTATTGTAGCCCCAGCACTGAATGCAGCATCTGGCACAATAAACGTTTGTTGAATAAAAGAATGAACTTGTCCAAGGTCACCTGACTGGTAGGTGGCAAAGCAGCTGGGACCAAAGAGCAGGCCTATCTGAGCCAAACCCCTGCTCCTCCTGGCCATGCTCTCTGCTGCTGGGAGTGCTCAGGTGGGCAGGTACCTGCAAAACCCGAGCCACAGTTGGTGACGATGTCCAACAAGGAATCGGGCAGGAAGCCATCAGCAGCAAAGTGCTCCAGGAAAATGTCCCCTTGCCTCTTGGAGAGCTTGCTGCCATCCCTGTTGAGGAGCAGGGGGAGGTGGGCGAAGTGGGGCGGCTGCCAGCCCAGGGCCTGGTAGAGGAGCAGGTGCTTGGCAGTGGAGATGAGCCACTCAGAGCCCCGCAGCACGTGGCTGATGCCCATGTGGTGGTCATCCACCACGCAGGCCAGGTGGTATGTGGGAAAGCCATCGCTCTTCATGATGACTGGGTCTCCCTCCACACTGGCCACATCGTGCCTGTTCCAGCCATACACCAGGTCCTGGAAGGCTGGCGCTGCCTCCTCCAGGCGGAAGCGGATGGAAGGCTTGGGGTCCTTGGCCAGCTTCTGGGCCACCTGCTCCTGGTTCAGGTTCCGGCACCGATTGTCATACCTGATGGGGAGCAGAGCTGTGTGAGTATTATTGATGAACAGGTGGATGGAGTCCTACCTCTCACAGCTTTGTGACCTTGAGCAAGACAGTTACCGCTGCAAGCCGCTTCCTCAGTCTAGAATGGGAATAGTAACACAGTTGTGTGGAAAACTGAGATAACATGGGTTAGCAGACACTAAAGTCTGCCTATCTACCAGCCATCCCACGCTTTTTCCTTGCTAATAAGAAAATGGCAAAACACTTAGTCCGAGGGGTTGAATCCTGATTGGTATAGCCAATCTTGCAATCCTATTGCCCCACGCCCGTGACCAGTCCAGGCAGGAATGTAACCCCACCCTAGTCACTGGCATGCAAAGAAAAGCACACATGGGGAGTAAGGAAGGCTTAAGGTTCTGGGAAAGGTTTTTCTCTCAAAGGAACAAGGAGACATAGCCACAGGAGGAAAATCCCATCTTAAAATTTCCCACTACCCTACTTCTGTCCTCTTCAGATACTGTCCTGTGAGAGGAGCATGCCTGGATTTGCCACAGGTATTTGCAACTGCAGGAGGGAAGGCAATGAAGTCAGAGAGAAGCCAAAATAGAGCCCTATGCTGCCGGTCTCATCCTAGAGTCACCCACCTCCAGCCTTCTGCAGAATCAAAAGATAAATGTCTGATTGATGCCCTGGCTACTCGAAGTGTGGTCTGTGGGCCCCTAGCATCAGCCATCTGGAAGTCTGACAGAAATGAGACCTGCTGACTCAGAATCTGCACATTAACTAGGTCCCCAGGTGATTCATCTGTGAGGTAAAGTATGGTTTGTCCCTTCTAACAGGGTATTCCGCTATCTGTATCCGAAAGTGTTCTAAGACACAGATGCAATGCTTGTAAGCCCAGTCTTTGACACAGCCAAGTGTTCAATCAATAAATAAATGGTGCATGGGGCTGGACATGGTTGCTCACATCTGTAATCCCAGTGTTTTGGGAGGCCAAGGTAAGAGAACAGACTGACCTCTAGAGTTCAAGGCCAGTGTGGGTAACAGCAAAATATTTTCTTGTTTTTGGACTGAGTCTGGCTCTGTTGCCCAGGCTGGAGTGCCGTGGCATATCATCTCAGCTCACTGAAACCTCTGTCCACTTGGTTCAAGTGATTCTCCTGCCTCAGCCTCGCAAGTGGCTGGGATTACAGGCGCCCACCACTGCGCCTAGCTAGTTTTTATATTTTTAGTAGAGATGGGATTTCGCCATGGTGGCCAGGCTGGTCTCAAACTCCCGACCTCAGGTGATCCGCCTGCCTTGGCCTCCCAAAGTGCTGGGATTATAGGCATGAGCCACCATACCTAGCCTAAAAACCTGTCTCTTAAATTTTATTTAAAAATTTAAAATACCAGCCTGGGCAACATAGTGAGACTCTATCTCTAAAAAACATTAAAAAACCAGCCAGGCATGGTGTTGTGTCCCTGTGGTCCCAGCTCCACAGGAGGCCAAGGTGGAAGAATCACTGAAGCTGGGAGGTTGAGTAGCTATGATCACACCATGGCACTCCAGCTTGGATGACACAGTGAGACCTAAAAAAATTTGTTTTCTTTTTTTTTTTTTGCCTGGGCTGGAGTGCAATGGCGCAATCTTGGCTCCACCTCCTGGTCAAGTGCCTCTCCTGCCTCAGCCTTCCCAAGTAGCTGGGATTACAGGTGCTCCACACTAACCCGGCTAATTTTGTATTTTTAGTAGAGATGGGGTTTCTCCATGTTGGTCAGGCTGGTCTCAAACCCCTGACCTCTCGGGTGACCTGCCTGCCTTGGCCTCCTAAAGTGCTGGGATTACAGATGTGAGCCACGGCGCCTGGCTCAAAAGAAAAAAAGTTTTAAAAATGAGTCAGTTGCACGTGAGTGAACAGGAGGGTACTCAGCTGCAGGAGTGGGCAGCACAATGCCTAAATCAAAGGTACTTGTTTCTTCAAGCTCTTCTGGCAGCAATTCTGACAGTGAGATTGACAAAAAGTTAAAGAAGAAAAAGAAAGTTGCACCAGAAAAACTTGTAAAGGAACAAAAGACTGGCAAAACTTCAGGAGCTCTGGGCAACATAGTGGCTTCCGTTTTCTAAATGTTGTTCTCCAAGCTAGCGTATGTTTGGATTATAGAACAACTTGTCAGATGAATACTTGTTTTAAATGTGCATTATTGAATATGTTCTGTCCAAGTGTGGTGGCTCACTCCCGTAATCCCAGCACTTTGGGAGGACAAGGCAGAAGTGCTTGAGCCCAGGAGTTTGAAACCAGCCTGGGTAAAAGAATGAAATCTTGTCTCTACCAGACATTTAAAAAACAAATTAGCTGGGTGTGGTGGGTACATGGGTGTAGTCCCATCTATTTGGGAGGCCGAAGCAGGAGGATCATTTGAGCCCAGGAAGTCAAGACTGTGGTGAGTCATGATTGCACCAGTCCAGCCTGAGTGACAGAGCAAGACCCTGTCTGAAAAAAAAGAATGAAGTTCTGAGGGAAGCTAACCGTCAACTTTATTAAGGAGCATTGCTTTGTAGCTATCACCTAGTGTAAAATAAAATCAACTAATACGATCTTAACTGTTGTGGCCCCCATATATATATTTTTTTCCTGAGACAGTCTCACTCTGTCTCCCAGGCTGAAGTACAGTGACACCATCTTGGCTCATTGCATCCTCCATCTCTTGGGTTCAGGCGATTCTCCTGCCTCAGCAGTATAGACGGGGTTTCCCATGTTGCCCAGGCTGGAGTTGTGGTCTTTTTTGATCATAAGAGCTGGTGCTGTTTAAGGCCCAAAGTAATCGTTTTTACTGACATTTTTGTTTCAACTAAACTTTTACAATAACAAGGATTTGTGTTGCACTGAGTTTATAAACTTTTGGTTTGTGAAATCCATACTTGATTTGTTTTTTTCCAAACAAATGTCTAGGCTTGTCTGACTTTTCCACCCCAATGACACTTCACTCTCTTTTTCTTTACTTCATTTTCCTTCAACAACAATCTCTTTGTGTTCAGTTTTCACTGTACTCTTGAATCTCTTCTTTGATATTATGCTAATTTGAAGTCAGTGAAACTGTCAAAATGTTATTTCAATAAGGTACTTATAATTAAGATATAGGGGCCGGGCACGGTGGCTCACGCCTGTAATCCCAGCACTTTGGGAGGCCGAGGCGGGTGGATCGCAAGGTCAAGAGATTGAGGCCATCCTGGTCAACAAGGTGAAACCCTGTCTCTACTAAAAATACAAAAAATTAGCTGGGCACGGTGGCGTATGCCTGTAATCCCAGCTACTCGGGATGCTGAGGCAAGAGAATTGCCTGAGCCCAGGAGGCGGAGGTTGCGGTGAGCCGAGATTGCGCCATTGCACTCCAACCTGGGTAACGAGCGATACTCCGTCTCAAAATAAAAAAAAAAAATGAAAGAAAACTCCAGGACTGGCTAGAACCTATAGTTGCTTGTGGCTTTGAGAGAATCCCTGAGCAAAGAAACTGGTGAGGCCATGCTCAGATGCCTGACCCACAGAAACTGAAAGGTAATAGACATCTAGGGAAATTCTTTTTTTTTTTTTTAAACTAAAAGAGTTGACAATTTTATTTTCACATTTCCCAATACAAATGAAAACTGCATCTTTTTGTCCCATTTCTCCCCTCCAAAACTATTCTCTTTGATAAGACAGGGGAGAAAGTCTTCCTTATGCTGTTTAGAAAACCCAGCATCACAGTAGCATGATCTCCTGGTGAAGCAGAACAGGTAATATAAAACTGATATAATGAGGCCTGCCCTCTAGCCTTATCTGTCTGGTTGAGTCATTGTGAGCCAAGTGGGCACCGTCATGGGATGGGCAGGAGGTCTCATCATTGGGGGCCTGGGTATCACTGGCATGTGGCCTCCCATGGGTGGCCTCATTCCAGAAGCAGGTCCCACTGGCATCATCCCAGAAGGAGGAGGGCCCATCACTGGCATCATGGGAGGGGCCCCCATATGGGGTGCTAGCATCATCCCAGGGTGAGGAGAACCCGGAAGACTGTGGGGAGCTGGTATCATCGCCCTGGCAGGAAGAGGAACAGAGAATGGAGGAGGTTTCTTTCCTTGTTGAAATGCAGCTGTTGTTTTGTCAATCAGGCACTGAGCCTGCTCTTCCATCATTTCTGATAGTCGTCTTTCACATTCTCTTTGTGTTTCTTACCACTGCAGCGTGTCTTTCTCACAGATGGAGAGTCATGGGTGAGGTATGCATCGCAGTAGTCACTGTAAAACTTGGGCATGTTGCTCTGTAGGCCGTTGGCCACTCCGTTCCCCATTTAGGGAAATTCTTATGCAACACCAGGTAACAAATGCACCCAATGTCAGTGAGGCATCTGCAACAAGTTAGGGTTCTTACCGGGGTGTCTGGTGGTTCCGCAGAGCCTCCTTCTTCAGGAGCTCCAGCCTCTGGGGCGAGCAGAAACAGGGGTAAGCAGCTCCGGTCTTTAGCAGCGCTTCTGTGGCCTGGGCATATAGCTCTAATCGCTGAGATTGCTGGTAGGGCCCAGCAGGACCGCCCCGGCGCGGGCTCTCATCAGGGGGGATGCCTGGAACACGGGTCCAGAGAATCATCATCCAATAATGACAGCTAAGGTACACACAGCGCTCATTCCCAGGCATTATTCTTTAATAGACACTTTATGCATATATTAAAGCTTTAATCCTCATAACAATCCATGACTTTGGCACTAGTACACTGTCCCTTTTTTATTTTTGGAGGCACAGCCTCACTCTGTCACCCAGGCTGGAGTGCAGTGGTACAATCTTGGCTCACTGCAACCTCTGCCTCCTGGATTCAAGTGATTCACCTGCCTCATCCTCCTGAATAGCTGGGAGTAAAAGCAGGTACCACCTTGCCGAGCAAATTTTTGTATTTTTAGTAGAGACAGAGTTTCACCATGTTGGCCAGGCTGGTCTCGAACACCCAACCTCAGGTGATTCACCTGCCTTGGCCTCTCAAAGTGCTGGGATTACAGGTGTGAGCCACCACTCCTGGCCCAATGTCCCTTTTAGAGATGAAAAGTTAAGACACAGAGAGGTGAAGCAGTCATAGTCCCATGGCCTCGTGGAGTAAAAAGCAAACGGAGGTGTACGGGCTCCGAAGCCCACACCCCCCAATTGTATGTCCTCTCAATCCATTGCTTCCCTGGAGAGGGAGAAACAAGCCCAGACCTGGGAACAGCTGACTTAGGAGAAAAAAGCATGGTTCAGGGAACAGCTCGTCAGGACCTAGTTGGACTCCTGGCTCTGCCACTTAGTAGCTGTGACAAGGGATACTGAGATGCTACCAATGTGAGTACCAGGGTGCTGCGCATCATAAAAGAGACTTTTTCCTAAAGCCTCAAAGCCTCCCTTCCAAGTAGGTGCAGTTATTCCCCCATTCTGTAAGGAGAACACTGAGGCACAGAGGTGTTTGTCACCCGGCCAAGTAGAAGGGGCATGATCAGCTTCAAACTCAGACTAATGGGCACTGGAGCCCACGTTCTTAACCACTCATTACACTGCCTCTTTGTGTTACTTAGCCTTTCTTTTCTTTCTTTTTTTTTTGAGACGGAGTCTTGCTCTTTCACCAGGCTGGAGTGCAGTGGCATGATCTTGGCTCATTATAACCTCTATCTCCCAGATTCAAGCGATTCCCCTGCCTCAGCCTCCTGAGTAGCTCGGACTACAGGCGTGCACCACCATGCCTGGCTTATTTTTTGCATTTTAGTAGAGATGGGCTTTCACCATGGCCATATGGTCTCGATCTCCTGACCTCATGATCCTCCCGCCTCAGCCTCCCAAAGTGCTGGGAGCCACTGCATCTGGCCTCTTAAGAGACAGGATCTCACTGCATCACCCAGCTGGAATACAGTAGTGTGATTATAGCACACTGCAGCCTTAAACTTCTGGGATCAAGCCACCCTCCTGCCTCAGCCTCCCGAGTAGCTAGGACTGAAGGTGCACACCACCACACCTGGCTAATTTTTTAGTAGAGACCGAGTCTCACTGTGTCACCCAGGCTAGAATGCAGTGATGTAATCATAGCTCACTACAGCCTCCAATTTCTGGGCTCAAGTGATCCTCCCACCTCAGCCTCTCAAGTAGCTGGGATTATAGGCATGTGCCACCATCCCCAGCTAGACTTAGTCTTTCTAAGCCTCAGTTTCCTCTTCTGAAAAGTGGAGCTAGTAGCCTCCTGTGCAGAGATTGTGAGAACAAATGTGTCAGTGCTTACAAAGCGATTAGCCCAGTGGTGTATATTTAGGACAGTTTCAATATATGCTATAGATTAAATATGACCCCAACCCAAAGTCCAATTCCCTCAAGTCATGCAGGATAAATTTCATTATGAATGCTTTGAGGAGAGGGAACAGGGACATGAAAACTGGAGGATGGTGTTTCTGCCCTCAAAGAGCTTTCAAACACATTGGGAAGATAAGGACATGGTTCACCCTGCTACCCTCAATGCTGACACGAACTGAGCTGAGTAGGCCTGGATTCAAATGTACCAGCCAGCTCTGAGACCTTAAGCAAGTCATCTTTCTGGGGTCTGGGTTCTCATTTGTCAAAGAAGGAAATAAGTAATAACTTTCTCATGAGGATCATCATGAGACTAGAATGAGATGATGTAAGTAAAGTGCTTACCATGTGGCCTGTGCTCAGTGTTCTCTATGCTTTGGTATGTATGTATGTATGTATGTATTTATTTGAGACAGGGTCTCACTCTGTTGCCCAGGCAACAGATCATGCAGAGGCATGATCTCTGCTCATGGAAGCCTCAACCTCTCAGGCTCATGCAATCCTCCCACCTCAGCCTCCCAAGTAGATGGGACTACAGGTGCACACCACCATGCCTGGCTAACTTTTTTAAGTTTTCTATAGAGACACGGTCAGCTTATGTTACCCAGGCTAGTCTCAAACTCCTGGGCTCAAGTGTTCCTCCTGCCTCAGCGTCCCAGTGTTGGGATTACAAGTGTTAGCCATGGCACCCAGCCAGCTGTGATTATCGGTGTCACTTGGCTCCCCTCTCATGGGCCCTCCATTTCTTCATTTGTCAGTTAGGAGGACTGGATCAGGTAAGTTTGCGGGGGGGTGTTCCCTTCTTGATCTAACCCTAAATAAGTCTCTTTAATGTGGTATCTTGAAATGCCCCAGGGTTTAAGAGGGACTCCCCTAGGAGAACTGAAAACATGTTAACTTAAAAAGTGGCAGGTAAACCTTCATAGAGTTTAATCAATGGCCAAAAATCGGAGGTACCTGAAATGCTCATTTACTAGTGAATAAACAAAATGTGGTATATCCACACAATGAATTATTATTTGGCTATAAAAAAAAATGAAGTACTGAGAGCACACAGATAAGCTTCTGCTAAGTGAAGGAAGCCAGTCACAGAAGGCCACGTGTTATATGATCCCATCCATATGAAATGTCCAGAAGTGGTAAATCCATGGAGGCAGAAAGTAGGTCAGTAGTTGCCAGGTGGAGGAGGGTAGAATGGAGAGCGACTGCTAATAAGGAAGAGTTTCTTTTAGGGGTGATGGAAACGTTCTGGAATTAGTGGTGATGGTCGCACAACACAGTGAATCTATTAAAAAACCCTGAGTTGTACACTCTGATATTGTAAATTTTATATTATGTGAATGACATGTCAATTCCCGCGCCCCCCCCAGTAGACGGCGTCTCGCTCTGTCACCCATGTTGGAGTATAGTGGCATGATCTCAGCTCACTGCAACCCCCACCTCCCGGGTTCAAGCAATTCTCCTGCCTCAGCCTCCTGAGTAGCTGAGATTACAAGCATGCACCACCATGCCCAGCTAATTTTTGTATTTTCAGGAGACACGGGATTTCACCATCTTGGCCAGGCTGGTCTCAAATTCCTGATCTCCTTAACTGCCTGCCCCAGCCTCCCAAAGTGCTGGGATTACAGGAGAGAGCTACTGTGCCTGGTCATATGTCAATTTTTAAAAAAGGCTGGGCATGCTGGGTCATGCCTGTAATCCCAGAACTGTGGGAGACCGAGCTACGTGGATCGTTTGAGCCCAGGAGTTCAAAACCAGCCTGGACAACATAGTGAAACACCATCTCTAAGAAAAATAATAATAATAAATAAAATGAAAAAACAAAAACCCAAAGTGAGGTGCTCTAGAAGTCAGCCACCATGGGGTGCCTGAATTCCCGCTCTCTGCCTCGCCAAAATAGCATGGTGGGGAACAAGCTCTGTTGAGGTGCTGCAAGCCTCATTCTCACAATGATGCTGCCCTGGGAATTCCACAAGGGTGGGACCTGCCACCATCACCATTGTTCATCACTGTATCCCTCGTGCCTGGCATGGTACCTGATGAGTAGCAGATCCTCTGTGAAACTGAAGCCTTCATCTTGGTCTGTGAAGCACCATGTAATTTGGCTCCCGGAAAACTTTTTTTTTTTGTTTTTGAGACAGGGTCTCACTCTGTTGCCCCAGGCTGCAGTACAGTGACATGACTGATAGTAGACAGACAAATTCCTAGGCGGGCGGCGACAGGTCCCTGATGAAACCTGACCTTCAAGCCAAAGACAGCCCGAAGCCTGAAAACCAAACTGTCAGTTCTGGATAGAGTCCATGACCGGAGTGAGAACTTCTATTCCTGGCTTACCCACTCTCTCTCTATTGGTTCTTTCTGGATGATATCTTTTAACCAACTGAATGGTCCTTTTTCCAAGACCACACATGGACCAATCGGCAGGCACTCCCCCATTCTAAGCCCATAAAAACGCCAGAATCAGCCTCACAGAGGGCTACCCGCACTTTCAGGGTCCCCTCTTGCAGTGGACAGCTTTCCTTCTATCTCTCAATAAAATTCTTCTTTGCCTTCCTCACTCTACGGTACCTGCGCACCTCATTCCTCTTGGTTGCAGGACAAAAACCTGGAACTCGCCAAGCTGTGGGTGACGGGAATAAAAGAGCTGTAACATGCTTCTGCTCACTGGACTACAGGAGAAAGAAAGCTGTAACATGTTCCTGCTCACTAAGCTATAGGAGTGAAAAGCTAAGACAGTGCTGAGGGATCAGACCTCAGAACTCCCCAAGCCAGAGCTATAACACCCCTTGGAGCTCCACAATGCTGGCATCTCCCAAGTTTTTGGATGCCACCCTGTTCCTCTCATCTAGATGCTGGCGCCCAACACAGAAGCCACTGGTGGCACACCCAGTCCAGCCAAGGGCTGAGTATGGAACCATGGCAGGTGTGGGATCCAAGTGGGCACGAGCCGAGTGCAGCCTGCTGGGCCAAGTGAGCCTAGAAGACACAAGCAAGGCCCCTAAAGAGGTGACGACAACCGCAGAAATTTCCAGCTGGTGAAGTGGCACTGAAGGAATTCTATAATATGATCACAGCTAACTCCAGCCTCAACCTCAACTTACCTGGGCTAAGGTGATGCTACTACCTCAGCCTCCCAAGTAGCTAGGATTACAGGGGTACACCACTATACCCGACTAATTTTTTGAAGAGACGAGGTCTCACTACGTGGCCCAGGTTGGTCTTGAACTCCTGGGACCAAGTGATCCTCTCTCCTCGGCTTTCCAAAGTGCTGGGATTCCAGGCATGAACCCCTGTGCCCAGTGTGGCAAGCCTTCTATCCTCACATCCCTGGTCATTCTTGTTGTTCATTATGCGTAGACCAAGCTGGTCTCTTTGATTCTCCTCAAATACATACAGAATTTCCTGCTGTGGGGCCTTTGCATTGGCTCTTCCCTTTGCTTTGAACATTATTCCCACAGGTCACCACGGGGCTGGCTCCTCATTTCATGCAGGTCTCTGCACCAGCATCACCTCCTAAGAGAAGACCACCCTATCTACAAGGGCACCCCTCACCCCAGTTCCTTGGCCTGTCTGTTATTCTTTTTTCCATACAGGTTATCATCACTTAATATCATGTGAAGGATGAATTAGGAGACAGGAGCAATGGTCCATGACTGTGATGCTAGCACTTCAGGAGGCCAAGGCAGGAGAATTACTTGAGTCCAGGAGTTCAACAGCAGCCGGGGCAACACAGCGAGACCCTGTCTCTACAAAAACATAAATTAATAAAATTAGCCAGGTGTGGTGACACACAGCTATAGTCTCAGCTACCAAGGAGGCTAAGGCGAGAGGATCTCTTGAGCTCAGGAATTTGGATTACAGTGAGCTGTGTTTGAACCACTGCTCTCCAGCCTGGGCAACAGAGCAAGACCTTGTTTTTTTTTTTTTAAAAAAGTATGACAGTGGCGTGATCTTAGCTCACTGCAACCTCTGTCTCCTGGGTTCAAGCTATTCTCGTGCTTGAGCCTCCCAATAGTTGAAACTACAGGCACATGATACCATGCCAGCTAATTTTTGTACTTTTAGTAGAGATGGGGTTTTGCCATGTTGGCCAGGCTGGTTTCAAACTCCTGGCCTCAAGCGATCCACACGTACTGGCCTCCCAAAGTGCTAAGATTACAGGCATGAGCCACTGCACCTGGCCAAGGGCAGGGTCTTTGTTAAATATCTCTAGCACCTGGAATGGTGCCTGGATTACAGTAACTGGTCTTGTATAGAATCCTTTATTCAGCAAACCTCAACTGAACACCTGCTAAAGCCTTCTACAATAAAAGACAGATATGAAATCATTTTCTACTCTTTAGGAACCCAGAGTCTAGGGAATAATTTACCTGAGATTAGAACATACACCTCAAAACAGTCTTGGGATTTTTCATTTTTTTTTTCCAATCTCTAGTCTAGCAGTCTTGATATTTTTCCTTGGGGATTTGATTTCCCTTTTCCTAGTCACACCTGTCCATATAGGTAGACAGCTGTCAACCCAGGAAAAAGCACACTCCTCTTTGTTCTCCCTGACCTTAGCTGTCCTCAGGATTAAACTTCCCACAAGATCAACTTCAGAAGCTGTACATGTTTTGTGTGGCTTATACAATGTGGTTAAAAGAAAATCTGGGCCCGGATTTAATAATGGTAAGTATTCAGCCAGAAAAACTGGATTTCTGGCTCCTCTTGGAACTCAGAAGATTGGACAAGCTGGGCCAGCATTCCCGCATGGGCACAAGGAGCCAGAGCTCAGAGGCGCTCCCTCCTCTGGATGAGGTGTGGTTTCCTAGCTCAGCACAGGCCCAGCTCCTCCAGTTCCCACTTGGCCTGTGTTTCCTGCCTGGCCCCTGAAGGGAATGAACTTGACATTCTGCAGTGAAAACAAGAATCTCAAAACAGCCTTGGCAGTAGCCGACACCTATAATCTCAGCTCTTTGGGAGACTGAGGGCTGGGGGATTGCTTGAGACCAGCAGTTTGAGAACAGCTTGGGCAACACAGTGAGACCTCATCTCTACAAAGAAAATTAAAAACTAAAAATTAGCCACGTGTGCTGGTGCATACCTATAGTCCCAGCTACTCGGAAGTCTAAGGTGGGAGGATCACTTAAGCCCAGGTCAAGGCTACACTGAGCTATGATTGTGCCAGTGAACTCTAGCCTGGGTAACAGAATGAGACCCTGATTCTTAAAAAAAATAAAAAAATAAAGAACCAGTCTTGGAGCTGTGTTTCGGAGAGCTTCAGCATTTTTTCGGGTGGCATCTGCCACCCCAGGCAGCACAAATGTAGCCGTTTCTCCAGGAACTCCTCATTTCCCACCCTGGGTTCCATGAGAAGATCCAGTCTCCTTTTCCTGCTTCCTGTTCCTTCCCTGCAGAAAAATCCTTTCTCTGCCAGGCTCACCTGCCCATTCCAGCATGTCCTCAATATTCTCTGCTGCCCCCGGCACAAGGCGAGTCTGATCTGTGTCCTCCAGCCTCAGGATGAAGCTCCCCTGGTACTTCTTGGCAAAGATGTAGTTGTACAGGGCAGTGCGGAGGCCACCCAGGTGCAAGAAGCCTAGAGAAGAGAACAGCTCAGGTAAGACAGGGAAGGTGAGCTAAAAGGCCTCAGCGAGGGGCAAGTAAGCACCGCTGTGACAGAACGCTGCAATGTCAAAGACCAGCAGGATGCAGTGGCTCATGCCTGTATTCCTACCATTTTGGGAGGCCAAGGCGGCAGGATCACTTGAGCCCAAGAGGTTTTTGTATTTTTTTAAGACAGAGTCTTGCTCTGTTGCCCAGGCTGGAGTGCAGTGGCGCGATCTTGGCTCACTGCAACCTCTGCCTCTTGGGTTCACGCAATTGTCATGCCTAGCCTCCTGAGTAGCTGGGACTACAGATGCGTGCCAACACACCCAGCTAATGTTTGTACTTTTGGTAGAGACAGGTGTTGGCCAGGCTGGTCTTGAACTCCTGGCCTCAAGTGATCCCCTAGCCTCGGCCTCCCAAAGTGCTGGGATTACAGGCATGAGCCACTACACTCGGTCAATTTTTTTGTATTTTCAGTAGAGATAGGATTTTGCCATGTTGGTCAGGCTGGTCTTGAACTCCTGACCTCAATTGATCCATCTGCCTTGGCTTCCCAAAGTGCTGAGATTACAAGTGTGAGCCACTGCACCTGGCCTGAGTTTGAGATCGGCCAGGGCAATGTGGCGAGACCTTATCTCTGCAAAAAATATAAAAATTTAGCTGGGCATGGTGGCACATGCCTGTGGTCTTAGCTACTGAGGTGGGAAGAGAACCTGAGCCTGGGGGAACTAAGGCTACAGTGAGCCATGATCACACCTCTGCACTCCAGGCTGGGTAGCAGAGTGAGACTGTCTAAAGAAAAAAAAAATTTTTTTTTTAATTTTTTTCAAAGATTAAGAACTAGCTACCCCTATGCCCTCCCTCTAGACACATTTAATCCCTCATCCTGAAAGTAGAAGACCACCCAGGATTTGGAGCATGTCATTTTATTAAAAGGCTCTAATTCTCTCCAACTGCATCCACCACTCTATTTTGATATTTTTCTCAAGGCCAAGCAAGTTTCATCTGAAGAAGCAGCAGAGGGTTATTCATTGAAGCCATATCATGTACATTTAACTTACAGAAAGTCAATGATGTTTGCTGGGAAAAGAATTAATTACAAACAAACTACAAATTTAAAATACTGTACAATCACACCGTGGGCCAGGTGCAGTGACTCACATATGTAATCCCCGCACTTTCGGAGGCAGAGGCAGGAGGATACTTGAGTCTGTAAGTTTGAGACCAGCCTGGGCAACATAGTGAGATCCTGTCTCTATTAAGAAATAAATCACATATTTTTACTTTTTTTAAAAGAAAATTTATTTTTAAAATTTGAGATGGGGGGTCTCACTGTTGCGCAGGCAGAGGCTGGAGTGCAATGGCGCAGCCAACGGCTCACTGCAGCCCCAATCTCCCAGGCTCAATCAGTCCTCCCACATCAGCTTCCCAGGTAGCTGGAACTACAAGTGTATACCACCACACCTGGGTAATACTGTATTCTCTTTTTGTAGCGCCAAGGTCTCACTATGTTGCCCAGGCTGGTCTCAAACTCCACTCCTGGGCTCAAGCAATCCTTCCACCTCAGCCTCCTAAAGTCCTGGGATTACCGGCATGAGCCACCATGTCTTGCCAAGATTTTCACCTTAAATGCTGGCTTTCAACACTAACCCAAAGTAGCGTTGGAGTCCACCATCTTTCTCTTCATCAGTTTAAACTCCTAAGATTTTACTTTTTCATCATTCCTGCCTGAAAACTGAAAGCTAACAGTACCTCTTACCCTACCTTCTTTGGACCAGCCCACAACCCTGTTACAATGAGCTCATCTGTATTTACAGGTACAAGAGGCAGCACAAGAGAGGAAACGCTCTTCTGGAGCCAGGCTGACCCTGCTTCAACACTGGTGTGTATAACCTTCGGGCAGTTACTGCAAGGCTACCAGAAAACCAGTGAGGTTCAGTGGCACTGGATCCCAAGAGTCCCTGAGACAGAAGAGGGACCCAGCTGCTAAAAACAAGGCCTCTTGGCTGGGCGCGGGGGCTCACGCCTGTGTAATCCCAACACTTTGGGAGGCTGAGGCAGGCGGATCACTAGGTGAAAACCCCATCTCTAATAAAAATACAAAAATTAGCTGTGCGTGGTGGCAGGTGCCTGTAATCCAAGCTACTGGGGAGGCTGAGGCTAAGGCAGGAAAATCACTGGAACCAGCACCCAGGAGGCAGAGGCTGAAGTGAGCAGAGATGGCACCACTGCATTTTAGCCTAGGATACAGAGCGAGACGCTGTCTCAAAAAGAAAAAGAAAAAGAAAAAAAAAAAGGCCTCTTACATCAAGTACACTGGGATTCAAATTGTGCATCCACCATTTATTAGTTGCTACCCCTTGGGAAGGAACTCTGCTTACCTTTTATGAGCTTCTACTTTCTCATCTGTCAGAGGGATTAAGAGCAAAAAACTTGGAATCTTCCTTATTATAGGGTTGCTCTGAGAGCTAAACGCTGATCAAAGTAAACCCGCAATTAATTTCAGCTACTGTAATGATCTGTGCCTGACAATTCTTTTACGTGTTTATAATCAAAAGCCTTTCCCATATGGTCTTTTCCTGCAAACGAGTGGGAAATGAAAATTATAATTGTCATAACAGAGGCTGGTAAGTGCTTTCTGTGTGTATTAGACCTTGCTAAATGGTTCAGCTGCATGAGCTTAACCCCATGAGACAGATACTATTATTGGCCCTGTGTTGACAAGTGGTAAAACTGAGGCTCAGATTCATTAAATAATTTGCACATCTAGGCCACCATGCATGGTGGCTTACACTTGTAATCTCAGCACTTTTGGGGGCCGAGGCAGGTGGATCACTTGAACTCAGGAGTTTGAGAAAAGCCTGGGCAACATGGCAAAACCCCATCTCTACAATAAAGTACAAAAATTAGCTGGGCGTAGTCACAGTCTGTAGTCCTAGCTACTCGGGAGGCTGACGTGGGAGGTTCCTTGACAGAGCCAGAAACCTTCTCAAAATAATAATCATAACAATGATAACGATAATAATAATAATTTGCACATCTAGTAAGTTACACATCTAACAAGTGACGAAGACAGAAATTTGGATCCAGGCAGTTCCAGGCCTTGGCATTCTACTGCTTTTCAAAGCAAAGTGTACAATCCAGTGCTGATTTGAAAACGGTTGTCAGTTCACAATCAACTACAGAAACTCACAGTAAAAGTTTAGAAACTTTTGTTGTTGTTTTGCAATGGAGTCTCACTCTGTTGCCCAGGCTGGAGTGCAGTGGCACTATCTTGGCTTACTGCAACCTCTGCCTCCTGGTTCAAGAGATTCTCGAGTGTCAGCCTCCTAAGTAGCTGGGATTACAGGCCTGTGCCACATGCCCGGCTAAATTTTGTATTTAGTAGAGACGGGGTTTCGTCATGTCGGCCAGGCTGTGGAAACTTACATAGCAATCTGACAGAATGATTTTTACCTCTGCTAAACCAAATAGAGTGATTGGTTTGTATTTCGGATGTTTTCAAAATTTTTTCTCTAGTCATTAATTTATATTAATTTATGCAAATATTGATACATAATTGTTGGAAATTAAAAACCAGCACTGCTACTGCAGATGGTTTGAAAAGCACTGCTGACCAGGTGCGGTGGCTCACCCCTATAATCCCAGCACTTTGGAAGACCAAGTTGGGTGGATCACAAGGCCAGGAGATCCAGACCATCCTGGCCAACATGGTAAAACCCCATCTCTACTAAAAATACAAAAATTAGCAGGGCATGGTGACATGCACGTGTAGTCCCAGCTACTAGGGAGGCTGAGGCAGGAGAAGCCCTTGAACCCAGGAAGCAGAGGTTACAGTGAACCAAGATCGCACTGCACTCCAGCCTGGGGACAGAGCGGGACTCCATCTCAACAACAACAACAACAACAACAAAAAGCACTGCTCTATACTACACTGCCTGCCAGAAAGATCCTATCACATACAGCTGGGATCTGGCCACAAAGATTCTTGCATGTTCACCCTGGGATTTCGGATGAGAGGAATACCCAGTGTAGAAAAGGCAGAAGGTAGCCTTACTGGTGGGAAGCTCCTGACAAGATCTCCAACAGGATATACAACGGGCCTCTGTCACCCTGTAGCTTGCTAAGTTCCCAATAACAATAGCACAGTGCCTTGGTACCTGCGATTTACTCTACCCAGAAGGTTCCTTCTTTGAGATGGAGTTTCACCCTTGTTGCCCAGGCTAGAGGGCAATGGTGTGATCTTAGCTCACTACAACCTCCACCTCCCAGGTTCAAGCGATTCTCTGCTTCAGCCTCCCAAGTATCCGGGAGTACAGGTGTGTGCCATCAAGCCCGGCGAATTTTACATTTTTACTAGAGACGGGGTTTCATTATGTTGGATTGGTCTCAAATGATCCACCCGCCTCGGCCTCCCAAAGGGCTTGGATTACAGGCGTGAGCTACCTCGCCTGGTCTCCACAAGATTCCTTCTTATAGGCTTCACAAAGCTGGCTCCTTCCTGTCATTTGGATCTCAGCTCAAAATACCTGCTCAGTAAGGCCTTCTGGAGCATCTTTCCTAAACCCGTCTCCTATCCTGCTTCATTTCCCGCACGGCACATGTGACTCTAAAATTATTTATTTTTATAGGTGTCCGCAGCAGCCACTGGGCTGCAGGCTTCTTGAGAGCAGGGCCCCTACCTTTCTCAATGGTTACTGTATCCCAGCGTCTACAACACCTGGCACACAGTTTGTCGTCAATGTACATGTATGGAATGCATGGAAAAAAAGATGGAAAGAGATGGGATGGCACAAAAAACACAAAGAAACCCCTGCCAATTTAAATTATTTCCGACCCTGCACCTCAGTTTCCGCCTCTGTAGAATGGGCTCCCGCTACCTTAATCCTTCTCCGCCCGCCCACTCTGACACCACCGGAAAGGATTCTTTCGGGAACTTTCGGGGGGCGGAGACGGGACAGAGGACCGTGGCCTGCAGCATCACGTTCGCCAAGGTTACCTGTGGGGCTGGGAGCGAACCGCACTCGCACCGCAACCCCGGTATCAGTGCCCAAGCTGGCCTCACGCCGTCCCACGGGGCGGCCTGAGGCCGCCAAGGGCCTCCAGTGTTGCAACAGTCTCTTCAGGAGCGCCGCCATGTGGGGTGGAATCGCACACGTGGGCTTCTCCCTGCGTCACTTCCGTGGACTCCTTCCAGCCAATCGGCCTCCGCCACAGCCAGCGCAGCCCTGCCCCTTAAAGTCACAGGCCTCATAGCGCGAAATCCCCGCCCCCCTGAACGGCTGCGGCCGCACTCGGCCACCAGGGGGCAGAGCCCAGCGAAAGGGCGATTTCCCGGACCCGCCCCCTTCGGCTTGGGAAAGCTAAAGCGTGGCAGAGGCCTGGCTGGGGAAGCGGAGGAGGCGGGTCTCCATAGAAACCTCCACCTGTTTCCGGCCGGGCTGCAAGCTATTAGGGGCTGCTGCGGGGGCCAATCTCAGTCAGCTCGCCTCTTCCCAGCGGCCTCTGCGGGAGCGGTGGGTGTTGTACACAATCATCATGGCGGCGGCCGGGGCCCCGGATGGTGAGTGCGGCGAGGGTGGCGAGTGGCGGGCGCCCGGCCCGGGCCGAGGTTGCCGGCGCTCCTCGAGAGGATGCGGCCCGGCTCGGGAGGGAGAAGCGCGGCTCGGGAGCGGAGGTCCGGTAGCGTCCGGGCAGCGTCCGTTCCGTGGCCCAGCCCGCGGCGAGCGTCCACCCCTAACCCCTTTGCAGGCATGGAGGAACCTGGCATGGACACGGAGGCCGAGACCGTGGCGACCGAGGCGCCCGCGCGGTCCCTCAACTGCGTGGAGGCCGAAGCCGCGGCGGGGATGGCGGCCGAGGACTCTGGCGCCGCGCGAGACAACCTGCAGCCGGCCCCGGCCCAGCCCCCTGGGGACCCTGTGGCCCAGGCCTCGGTCAGCAACGGCGAAGACGCAGGCGGCGGCGCGGGCAAGGAGCTGGTGGACCTGAAGATCATCTGGAACAAGACCAAGCACGACGTGAAGGTCCCCTTGGACAGCACAGGCTCCGAACTGAAACAGAAGATCCACTCGATTACAGGTAATTTCTGCGGCGCTGGCGCTGACAGCCTTTCCCACCCCGCCTCCTGATGGCCCTTGCACCGTGCTAGGCACTTGGTGGCTTTCTTTGCATCAGGTGCTCCCATCCTCACAACAGTCTTCTGAAACATACCTGGATGCTTATTACTCAGCTGGGGAAGAGACTCAAGTTTATAGAGCTAGTAAGTTGTAGAGCTGGGATTCAAGCCCAAGTCTGACGTTTAGGCCTTAGTTTCTCACTATCGTTTCTCTAACATTTCTAATTTAAAAATCACCTAAGCCACTTGTTTTACAGCTTCCGGGCCCTTTCCCAGGAGATTCTGATTCAGTGGGTCTGGAATGTAGCCAGGAATTTATTTTTGTCAAATATCTTGGGTAATTCTCCTAAGCGAAGTTTAGGAAACGCTGCTATTGACTTTGATGCTGGTTCTTCACAGTTGATACTGTTCTTAATTTTACCTTCTTTATAGTGCTTTCACGTCTGAATTTTTTTTTTTTTTTGAGACTGAGTCTCACTGTCGTCCAAGCTGGAGTGCACTGACACGATCTCAGCTCACTTCAACCTCCGCCTCCCAGGTTCAAGCGATTCTCCTGCCTCAGCCTCCCAAGTAGCTGTTATTACAGGCACCTGCCAACCTGCCGGGCTAGTTTTTAAGTTTAGACGGGGGTTTCACTATGTTGGCCAGGCTGGTCTTGAACTCCTGACCTCAGGTGATCCGTTCACCTCTGCCTCCCAAAGAGCTAGGATTACAGGCTTGAGCCACCACTCCTGGCACTGAAATTTATTGTTTTAAGGCTTCCTACATGTAGCCCTGTAAGCTCCATTAAGGACAGGAGTTTTATCCCTATTGGCTTCTGTAGCTCTGATGTCTGTGGATTCTCAATATTTGAATGATCTGATTGAGGAACAACTTGGAAAGAATGAGAGCTAATATTTATTGAACAGTTACTGAATCATAGGCACCATACTAAATGCCTCACGTTTGTCCTGTCTTAATCCTTAAAACAAGTCTATACAGAAGGACTTACTTTCATAAATCTTATCAAGTTCTACAAACTGAGGTTCCGAGGTTGTATATCGCCCAAGTTTACAAAACTAATAGGTGGTGGAGTCAGTATTCACTTTCTGGTCTGTTACCAAAGAGCTGTGTAGGGTCCATGCATTTTTCCTTCCTTCCTTTCACTGTCTACCTTCTACCTTTTCCCAAGGTCTCCCGCCTGCCATGCAGAAAGTCATGTATAAGGGACTCGTCCCCGAGGATAAGACATTGAGAGAAATCAAAGTGACCAGTGGGGCCAAGATCATGGTGGTTGGCTCCACCATCAATGATGTTTTAGCAGTAAACACACCCAAAGATGCTGTGCAGCAGGATGCAAAGGCCGAAGAGAACAAGAAGGAGCCTCTCTGCAGGCAGAAAGTGAGTCCATCTTGTGCTTCTTGGTCCTGAGAAATTTGAGGCTTTGTCCTCTCAAGCCTTGGCTGGTTATATTCTCCCTAGAATAAGCTCCTTTTTGGACAGGGCCCATGATGGAAATTTATGGCAGCAGTTGGGTGCCGCAGAGTGGAGGTGACAGCTACCTGAGATTTGCAACTTTGTCTCATCTGGCGGGTCAGTGTGTCTCAAGTCTACCTACTTTAGGATAAGACCTTGGTAAAGGGAGGCTTCAGACCAGGTGTTAAAAGGAATCAGACATGGGTTTCTCTCTCCTTTTAGTGCTGGAGGAAAAACCAGTACTCATTTTGTACAAGTGCTTACATTTGGCTTTTTGGTTTGTGGCTTTCCCCAAGTCCACAGGCCTGGCTAGGCACGGGAATCAACAACAGCTCCTGAAGGTGTCTCTAAAACTGATCCTTTCAGGAAGCTGAATGAAGCCGAGTAAGAAGACAACTACACTTACTTATTTTTTTGTCCTGATCTGTGAAATAGGGTCTTGATTATTCACATTCTCTGTTCTTTTGTATCAAGAGAGCCTGCCTTGTCTTGGGCTCATCATAGCCATTAAAATTCTTTTATGTAATGAGGAAAAATAAGATGATTTTGCTCTACAAGGAACAGGTTGTAAGAATCATCATTTATTGTCTTTTTACCTGGCAAATCCCACTGATTGCTGTGTAGCCTCCTGATCATTCCTAGTCTTCCAAGGAAAATAGGTGTTCTCAAATGTGTCTGGAGTAGAGTAATAGATCAGCTTGAATCAACATCAGTTTTATTGACCATAGGCACTAAGATGTATGACCAACAATAAGAGGATGGCACCGTTTGTATGACAGATCGATAATCCCCCATGTGTGCTTCCAAAACCCCAAAGGAGTCTAAAACTAAAAGTGTTTTTATTTAAAAAAAAAAAAAAAAAATTTTTTTTTTTTGAGATGGAGTTTTTCATTCTTGTTGCCCAGGCTGGAGTGCAGTGGCACCGTCTTGCCTCACTGCAACCTCTGCCTCCCAGGTTCAAGCAATTCTTCTGCCTCAGCCTCCCAAGTAGCTGGGATTACAGGCATGCCCAGCCATGCCCAGCTAATTTTGTATTTTCAGTAGAGGCAGGGCTTCACCATGTTGGTCAGGCAGGTCTCTAACTCCTAACCTTGGGTGATCCACCCGCCTTGGCCTCCCAAAGTGCAGGGATTACAGGTGTGAGGCACTGTTCTTGGCCATGTTTTTATAAATTTAACAGCAAAACCTGACCAGAATTAGTGTGAATTTTCCTCTTTGGTGATAAGGTACTGCCCTGGACCGCACAGAGAAGATTGTGTTATAAATTTTAAAACAATATTACCTTTGTAAAACTCCTAAAACTCTTAGGTTTAAAACTCTAGGGTTTGAGATAAGGGGTTGTAGAACTATTTTAATTATCTCAAAGGTGTCGATTTGGAGACTTCACCCCCACATATGGGTTGTTATGTCTTAAAACCGATTGAGTTCATTCTCTCATTCCTGTTGTCCTCTCCCACGTGTATGGAATAGTGAAATGCGAGCGTGTCAGGAGTGGTCCCACTGGTCACACCCTTGGAGCATAGCATGCCTCCTAAATACAGGTTTTGAGTTACTAATGGTAGCTTAACAGGCCTAGAACTGTTCTCCACAATACAGGAAATCTTGTTCAAAAGGTGTGACTCGAATTATACTTCCAGCCCATGCTGCTGTGTTTCATTGAGGCCAATTATGAGGCATCACATGACTTAATGAGAGGGATATAGTCCCTTGGCTTTTTATCAGCTTGTTAAGGGGTCTGGGGCTGATGTCTGGAGTGACTATTTGCTAGCAGTCTGGCAGTACTGAGTTTATTCCTCCCAGAGGGATTCTGCCATGCCAGTGAGGATTTGGGCTGGCTTATGGCTACCTGGTGCTTACATTTGATTAAATTTTTACCTTCTATCCATTCATTGCCCCATAGTTCCAGCTTTACTAAGCAGTGGCTGTGCCTATAAGGCCACAGATGGAGAAGAAAGAAGACTCAGGCATTTGGGCCAGGCAGGAGAGCTGTTTAAGGGGCCCTGAACTTGGAATCCTTAAAGAGCTGCCTCAGAGTTCTTGGGACAGGCGGGAGGGAGGAGTTTAGAGGCTTCTTAATGTCAGGTTATAGAGTAATTTGCATTTCTGACTGAAAGGTGGCTCTTACAAGTTCCTGTTTAGCTGGAGTTAAGGGTAGTGCAGTGGGTAAAATGTCTGTGATGGGCTGGGTCTCCATTTGTTGAAGAGCTGCTCCTTCTAGGCAGTTAGACCAATTATCAACATTAGTGTTCTCTGGGAGTTTAAGTTGAAACAGGTAGGTGCCTTTTTTTTTTTTTTTGCTAGGAGAGCAACACCCTTTATGGCTCTCTTTAGCTGGATCGTTTATTTCAGGGGTGAATTTTTTTTTTTTTGACGGGAGAAGGGCAATCTGGAAATCCCATTTACTCTAGAACTTTGATATCTAATATGGTAGGTAGCTACATGTGCCTGGTTAAAATGAAATGAAATGAAGAATTCAGTTCCTTAGTCATACTAGCCACATTTCAAGTGCATAATGGTCACAGTAGCAGACAGTGGCTCGCACAGGTACAGAACATATTCATCTCCCCAGAAAGTTTTTCGGGACAGCAATGTTCTGTAGTTTTAAAGGATCCCTGGTCTGTCGTCATTAAAAGCTTTTGAGCCAAAACACTAAGGCTTTCTTTATCCTTTGTTTCAAAGGAATAGTATACAACTAAACGTAGTCAGCTGT